TTTTTTCTTCGTTTTTTTTTCATTTTCATTTTCTTAGGTGGGCAGATCGGGCCAACAAACCAACTGGGCAGCAGCAACGGCAGCAGCAGCCAAAGGTTGTTGATGGGCCACAGCGACTGTTGCTGGAGCTGTTGCCTGCTGCCTGCTGCCTGCTGCTGACGGCAATCAGGTCGAACTCGAAGTCGCAGTCGAGTCGCTTTTGGCCAGACATGAAGAATTACAATGAGTAGGTAGTTGGGCGCAATTGCCACAGCAGCAGCAGCAGCAGCAGCAACAGCAACAACAACAACAACAGCAACAGGCCTCTCAGTTTGCTGTCTGCCGTCTTTTGGCAGCAGGTCGGCCCACGTTCCGCGAGACGCGGCTTTTTGTGGACTGCTCCCGGGCATAGGTAGCACAAAAAGCTGTTCAATTTAGAATTCAAATTGTTGTCTTCGCTTGTGCCCCTCAAAGTTGTTGTTGCTATTGTTGCTGCTGTTGCTGCTGCTGCTGTTGGTGGTACATTTAAAGTTGTTGCTGTTGCTGCTGCTGCTGCTGCTGTTGGGCTTTCTGACTCTGACTCTGGCTTTAAGGTTAAGCAGGTCAAAATCCGTACAACTAAATTGAGCGCAGAAATACAATTGAGCTGCTGCTGTTGTTGTTGCTGTTGTTGCTGCTGTTGTTGCTGTTGCTGCTTGAAATTCATTTTTGTGTGTGTGCTGCAACGTTCAAATTAAAATGTATTTTGAGCAGCAGCAGCAGCAGCAGCAGCAACAACACTTGCAACAACAACAACCAGGAGCATGAGAGAGGATCGCATAGAGAGTGAGAGGGGGCAGGCAGCCGATCAGTGACCAGAAGCAGCCAGAAGCACTTTTGTAGCCGCTTATTAGTGGGCTCTTGTGTATATTTTAGTATTATTTCTTTTCATTTATTTTTGCTTTTGTTGTCTTATTGCAAAAGGGTTGCAAGCTTTGCGAGCGGCACGTTTCACATTTGACGCAGGATCCAAACTTAGCCACTTGACTTGCACACGGACTGCTATTAATTTATTTTGATATTGTTTTTGTTTTGTTGTTTCTTCATTATTTTTTGTGGATTATTCATTCTTGATAATTTTTAAAACAGGAATTCGATTTTTATGAGCTGAGCTGGCCAAGTTGTATGTAAATATTTACAGCAAATGACTCAATTTGCTTGAAACTCATCTTTATTGATCGATCAAAAATACTGGAAAAATACAGCTTTTGTCTATTGAAAAAATGCAGAACTTTGAAATGTTATAAATCAAACGCACAAGCCTACAAAAATATTTACGACTTCTTTCGTCTAACACGCTAAACTCAAAAGTTCAGGCATACTTTACGATATCGGCGTGAAAACTTGAACTATAAACTTGAATCGGTTGAAAAGTTGTTGGCCGCATGACAATCGAAGGCGAAGACAAAATAAAAAAAAAAACCAAAAAAGTTTTCGGGATTAGACAGATAAATCGACCATTAAAGTTGCCTCATAAACCTAATCGAATTCTTGAGGAATTTTAATTAAATCGTCTTTTGTTCAACGATCTCTTATATACACATATATATTTTATTCGTTTAATATATATTTCAGCAAACATTTTTAGTACCATTATAAATGTGTATATTATGATAAAGATTGAGAGCTGCTAGAAAAGCTAAACGGCTGGAAACATATTAATTTGTCAGAGAACCCACAAAGATGTATATTTGATGGATATTTGCATAGATGTTAAAGGTGTTTCGGCATCACAACAAAATTAGCATTAAATGATTTAGTTTTTCATCCAGTTTAACTCGATTGCCTGTCAAAAAACACATTTTGTTTGCAATTTATATGCGATAATATTTAACGGGAAACACAAAAATGTTGGCAGCTTTTTTTCTTTAATCTGACTAACATAAAAGAAGCTAAAAAAAAATAATATTATATATATATATAAATAAATATGTATACTAAAAGTTTGCCAAGTGTCATCCAGATTACAGGATATCTCCCCGTCGAATATCGAATATCTTTTGTGGCATTGTCTCTTGAGCTTTGTCTTGGCCCGGCTCATTTCTAACGCTAACAAGTTGGGCCACAGATGCATTTTGTTTGCCTTTTGTTTGATGCTCCAAAATGATTTGCATATTTCCATATTTTTTGTAAATTGCCCCCGTTGTATGCGAGTCCAATTACATTGCGTGCAGCAGCAGCAGCAGTTGCAGTTGCAGCAGTTGCAAGCACACATGGCCTCCAATTGAAATTGAAGTTCGAGTTGATATTGGGAGTCGAATTCGGAGTCGCAGTCGCAGTCGGAGTCGCAGTCGGAATTGGAATTGGAGTTCAAAGTCAAGACCGAGTCGCACATTCAAATCTGTTTTCGATGGTATTGTTATGGTTAAGTTTTGCATTGCTCACTTCTAGTTAAAGCTCGACTTAGTTGTTGCTGTTCTTATTGTTGTTTTTTGTTTTTGTTTTTGTTGACGGTCAGTTTGGTTTGTTGTTGTTGTCGTTGTTGTTCTATTGTTGCTCGCTGGCGCTGGCTTGTCAATTATTGGTGCCACAGAATTTAGAACGCAAAATATAGTTGGTAGTTGGCAGTAACCACAAAGGCACCAAATCAAAGCCCCTTGCAACTTCTTTGGCCTTTTTTCTGTATTGTGTTTGTTGTTGTTGTTGTTGTTGCTTAGCGAATTATGACAGCCTCTAGTCCAATTCCAAATCCAAGTCACACAAAAAGCCACCAATTTCCGGTATGTATTCAGCTAATTGAAGTTTTTTTTGAACTTGTGGGAAATGTAGCGGGAAATTTATTATTACACTGAAATAATAATAGCAACAATAATAATTTAGAAGCTGTGTTGGAGTTTTCAAAATATAAAACAAACAAACAAAAACTATTTAGTTAGTTGCAAGTTCTTAGTTCGAGTCGAGTCAACAGAATCGAATTTTAGTGGCGCTGAAAGGAAATTCATTTATATAATAACCAATTTCAAATGGATCTGAATATATTAAATAATTATTGATTAGGAAATCGAATATTAATCAAAAGAAACCATTGAGGAAAGTTCTGTAAGCTGCTGTGTCATAAATAAAAATCTTTACGATCAGCAGATAAGATTCATAAAATAAAAATAAATAAAAACAATAAAGGAAAAACTTGTATCAATCGTATAAAATTTGTTTGGCCTAAATTTTAGCTTGGGGTTGATTAATGCTGTTAAAAATAATGCTTGGTAATAAAAAAGCGACTTTTATTGCCGACTGAATTGGAAATTAATTATGTGTGGATGCTGATAAAAGAAGAAGAAAAAAAACAAACACCTCATAATATCTTTAATCTTCAGATAAGCTTTATACACGTTAACAACTTAAGCAAGCGAAAAAACGACGACAAATGATTAATAGTTGATTTGCACAATTAATTAATCATCGTTGCTCAAATGATCTTCAAACAACTTGCACAGTTTTCTTGGGATTATTGTAGAACTTTGAAGTTGAAATGTCGCCACGGCTCTTCAACTAGGGATAAACAATAATTAATAAGCAGATCGAAATATATAGAGATGGCAGGGATCACTTACACTGCTTAGCTCTCAGAGCCCCTCGACTGACCATTATTGCACGAACCCGATCCCAGATCTCTGCCCAAAATGTTCCTGGCTCTTGCAGCTCTCTCAGACAGCCGTCGCCGAAGCTATTATCGTGTGTCCATTTTCAGCCTCTGATGCTGAAGAAGCTGCTGCGGGTATCATTAGACCCGACTCCGACTCCGACTGGTACCTTCATGATCACCCTTACATGCTCCGCGCACATTGTAGCATCCCCATTAGCATATAATTGAGGGGTATTTGCCTCCATTATCACAAACAGCACCGCCAAGCAAGCGCCACCATCCAGTTGATGGTTGATGGTACTTCTGACACAGCAACGCCAGGCTAATGTGCCCAGGATGTGTATCCTTATGCCCAGCTGCTGATCCTCAACAGACTCGAAACAGCAATCGATCTATTTTCACTCTGACCAATCATTCAACGCCTGCAAAAGATTTTGATTTGCGGGCAGAGCATCAAATTGAGGACTCGTAAAAAATACACTTAAAAAAAATAAGCAAAGACAAAATAAAAGTGTTTGTCTGTCAACTAAAAATACACACACAAAAACCCATAATGTAAATGCAAAAACCGGTTTTCATTTATGAGTTTTAGTTAATAATTTAAAGACTTTGTTAAGATCTGCATGGTTATTGGTTAACAAAGTGAACTTTGACTAGGGATCGATGCATATTATATTCAATGTTGTGTGGCCACAGTTCAGTTGCTTGCCACACAGTGGCAGTTGAGTTGGCAGCCGGCAGCAGGCAGCAGGCAGCAGCTGTGTGAGCTGAGCTGATCTGAGCTGAGTATGTGGCAAACAGGTTGAAAGCCTCTGTCTTGGCCATAGCCAGAGCCACGGCCATGGAATTCAATCAGGGCCAATCTATAATAGAAATCTCATGTGGTGGGGCAAACAGCGAGCGGCAAGTAGCAAACTTGCAACTGGCAGCCAGCCCACTTTCAATCGCTTGTGGCGTCGTGCGTTGCAAATATGAAAATGCTACTGCTCGCTGTGGACCTCCGAACACAGAGCAACGCTGCAGTTAAAAATCGTTTTTCATTAACAAAAAAGCGGCGCATTAATCACACACACACACACACACATAGAGAGAGAGGGGCAGAGGTACACACGCCCTCCATTGGAGGCAGCAGCATGTTGCAAGCATGCATATATCTTAAAAGTCCCAACAGCAGCAGTCTACAGTGGAACTTCTGTGCGTTGAACTACTTACAGCAATTCCATCTTTCCAGCAACACTTCTTTTTCTAGATTAAATCTAAATTAAATTTATAACAATATTTACTAAATAATTTGAATAATTCAATAATTTTGTTGCTGAACTTAAGCTGCACATTCGTTGTAGAGAAGTTGGACTGTGACTAATTCATGCCTCGCTCGCTTTGTGTCTTGTCTTTGCAGCATTTTCGTGATCAGAGCATTGATGGCACGGGCTTGCCACTGCTAACCGAGGATCATTTGGTTAGCTCGCTGGGCATGAAGCTGGGCCCGGCGCTCAAGTTGCGCTCCATATTGGCGAAGAAATTGGGCGGGCCGTGTCCGTGTGTTGCGTGCGTTGCGCAGGCGCAACAAATGCTGGCACTGCAAACGGCAGCAGCAGCAACAACAACAACAAACAGCACAACAGCAACAACAGCAGCAACAACAGCAGCAACAACAACAGCAGCAGCAGCAGCAGCAGCAACTGCACCAACAGCAATAACAACAACAGCAACAACTGTTGTAACTAGTTGCAGTAGTTTGTCCAACAGTAGCAGTAACAGCAGCAGCAACAGCAGCAGTGGCAGCAACACAGCAGATAGCTGCAACATGGGCAGTGATGTTGCTGCAACATTGTTGCGTTGCAGCTTTGATGCTGCCGACACCAGCAACAGTTACAACAACAACAAGGATACTGCCAGCTAGTTCTTATATGTCACAATCGAAATTAAACTAATTAAATCAAAATATAACAATAAAATATATATATAAATATATATTAGTATATATAAATATATGCTAGCAAATTGCATTTCAACTGCAATTGTTGTACCAAATGAGCTTTCAAATGTAAAGAAACAAAAAAAAACAAACAAACAAACACACACATAAAAAATCAAATTACATTTAACTAATTTTAACCAACCTAAATTAATGTTAGCTGAAGTTGTAAACTTTAAAGCAGCAACAACAATCGCAAAAGTCTTCCATTTGCAGAAAGATAGAAAAAGCACTTAAAGTTATTAAAATAATATATGAATAATTAATCAAGCAATTTAGTCAATTTAAATGAGTTTTTATTATGAACTAAACGATAATGATTTATGTACTTAAGCGCAAATATTTTGCACAACATTTACACACAGATATATATATATATATATACATATATATATATATATATATATTTATAATTTATTTAAAATATTCTATATAAATATATATATATATATATAAATATTCAATTTTCGTTTATAACTGCTAGTCAGTAAATATTATTACTATATTTAATAACATTCAGAGAACGTAAACAAACAAATTTCAATTCTAAAATTTGATTTCCTTATTTGTTTAGCAAAGAAAAGGCTATTTATTTTATATTTTTATAAAGAGAAAAGATAAAATATATATATATGATATATGATATATGTAATACTAGATAATATCAATTGTTAAAAGCACCCAAAAATCTGTTGTTCAAAATATTACACTACAATTATATTTTGCGGCCATTGCACATTGGAATTCAAAATTCAACCATAATTTAAGAGCTCCAAGACTTGAAGACAATACCAACACCAACACACACACACACACACACACACACACATACAACAACGACAAATAACAACAAATGCATTGTATATATTGTTTATTTAATTATTTTTATATATATATATATATACCTATTAAATATCTTTATATATGCTTATGTATTTTAAACCCTAGGCATCTGCTACTGGCCAAGCAGCATCGGTCAACTTAAAAAATATGTTTACGTTTAGGCAAGCAAACAATTGATTTATTTTATTGAAATATATATTATATATTTAAACAAATATTTAGCTATTTTTCACAATCAAATAAATTATAAAAAAAAATACATTACGAATACCAAACCCTTGTCTCTCCCTCTCTCTCTCTCTCGGTCCTCTGGAATGTGCAGTTAACTGGGCTCTATGGAGCTGAACTGACCTCCACAATGGGGCGCCGCGCTCGGGTCGAGCGTAACCGTTGCGCCAAAAGCCAACCAAGGATGCACTGCATAAACCAATTAAAAGCACGCAGCTGGAGCTGTAGCCGCACTTCAACGTCTAATTACAAATTGGAGTCATTGAATTTAATCGTTGCAAAATCCGCATATGCACTTCTTATGCACTTGAGACACGCAAACTGATAAAAACAAAAAAAATTAATACTACAATAGCTTGAACTGTCTTCTTTTGGTCATAATTCGCTGACTCCGGCTAATTGGAACGTGGCAGGGGCAACTTTCCCTCTAGTTGACCTGTCAGTCGTTCCCAGTCGGGAGGGCGGGAAGATGTATTTATTTAAGCTCACAGTAAAGATGACTATTGATGTACATACAAGGAATTTCAGAATTGGAGAAAAAATTCTGTTTTTTAGTTGCCGATTAAACAAGAATTTTGAGATATCAACTTATTTTCTTACGCTCAGCGAGATAAATTGTTATCTTCATGGATTTGTTGAAGTTAGAGTTATTTACACGAAAAGTAAAGTTATTTACAACAAAAGTATGCTCCAACAATTTATATCAAAATGACGCCATCGATTTTATTGTTAATCCTAAAGGTATGCTTTAAAATGTTAAGTTTTGGTCGGACAACTGGTCACAAGTGATTTCATTGACATGCCTAAAAATATGCTTTTATGTTTGCATACTTTGAGAAAGACAACTCTGAGTTGACCAAATTCTTGCAGATTTTTAAGACATGGTGCGTTATAATCTCAACCACCAAATCTGTCGAACTGCATTCAAGAAATATGGAGTCATCTAAGAACCCAAGCACTTAGAAAATTTGACTCGCAAACGTGAACGGAAATGGGTTAAGAACACAAAATCCTAATTTTCTCGAAAACTACAAAGACGATTTGGATGTCCTTTGGTCAGTCGGTAGAGGGATTTGGCCGCGTTATACGCAAATTATCTATCATAAAAATGTCATATTTTAGCAGTTTTACTTAAAATTTTCATGCCTTTTATTACTTTATTCAAATCTGCAGCCAACATATTTTGTCGAAACCTGGAAACCTCGAATGCCAATCAAAAGACGTAAATTTCGTAATGTTCAACTTACAATTTTTAAATTAACCAAAAGTTAGAGCTTATGCGTGTATATGTGTGTATATATGTATATGTGTAATATTGTTTACAATTAAATTTTTGTATCCCTGCGTCCGCATTCCATTTGGGAACACACTGCAGTCGTCGGAGAGCTTAAGGAGGCTCTTCCAAAGCTACCGTAAGGGGCAGTACTGGAAAATTAACAATAAACATTTGTCATCATAAAATTCGAGAATATATTTACATATAGCCTTTTTCGATTTTATTACATTTCTTGTAGTTTTTTTTTGTTTTTTCTTTATCATAATTTGTTTTGCTGTGGTTTTTTTTGCCATTTAAATAGTAAAACGTTTTTATATAACAATTCATAATTTTAGCTTACAGTATGTAACTCTTTTTGTTTTTGTTTCGTACTTCTTACAATTTTCTGTTTTGCAAACACTATTTCTCCGAAAACAGTTTTCATGCAAATATACAACGTTCAGAACATGATTTTGCATTTAAATTAATATCTTTATATATATATATATATATATATACATATATATATACATATATATATATATACATATATATACATATACATACACACATACATATACACATATGTATGCATATACTATATATATTATGTATATAACTAAAAATGCGTAAATAAATTGATTTTCTTTTTTCTTACTGTTTGTTTTAAGTTTCCTTTTCATAAAAGGAACAAATCGCACATGCCTTAGAGCATGTTTACTTTTAATATATATGCCAATATTATTTTGACGTCTGGTGTTATTTTCTGTTTGTTTGACATCGTATCGCGTTACTTTTAATTACACAAAAATAATCGATATAATAAACCTGAATTTTTTTTTGTTAATATTCTTTATCTTTTTTCTTGGTTGTTGATGCTTTGTTGTTTTTTGTTTTTTTTTTCTAAGCGGCACTCTATATTGTATTTACGCTCAGTTGCTCTCTCAGTTTATTTATTAATTGTTATTCCCAGGATTGAGAACGAGCAGCGGCGGCATCTCCTGCTATTGTCTCTTGCGTCTCTTGTGTTCTTTACCATGCAGCAGCTTATTGTTTCTACATATCTCTATTTCTATGAAATGGCTGTTGAAAGTTTTGGTATGAACGCATCATTCCCACTCAGTGGTGCCCGGTGGCTTGGCTGTCAAGTCGTATAATACCCTCGAGATACCATCCATTTTCGATATATCGTGAACCATTTGATTTAGGACCTAGAACACAAAATGTTTAACAAATGTTTAAAGGTATTTTTTTTAAATTATAATATAAGCTTACTTGTAATGGCAGTTGAGCGGAACCAGGCACTACTGGCACCCCAGTCATAAAATCGTTCGTTATGAATGGACGCAACACCACCGATCTTCTGCAGGAGGGAGTGCGAATAATGGGATCACGGTCAAAGTGCACGGGTATGAGAACGACGGGCATTTGTGAGATTTTTCGATACAGGCCCGCTTGCATAATTATCTGTCCAATAGATAATAATAAATAAATATAAACATAATAAACAGATTATTGCATTAGCTCACATCGTTGGCAATGGCATCTGCTTGCCGGAGCTGCGCTAGGACCACATTGTTGAGAGTTGTGTGCGTTATATCCGTAACCAGATACTGCACTGGCTCGCCAAAGATGTAACACACTCGATTCACATTATGCAATATGCGCGGTATAATTTTGGCCAAAAATAACATATCCGCCCAGTTGGGCTCAGGGCTTGTCGTTGACAAGCCAACCACATAGCTGTAGGAGCGCTTATCACCCTGTACACCCACCGAACGCACCGGCAACAGCGTGGCCTGTATATCCGAATTGGCAGAGATGCGCAGCAGTTCCGTTTGTTCAGATTCGCTGGTGGCGCCCGTTACCCGATTAATTAGCGCATGATTCTTCAGCTGCTTATTCTTATAGTCCACAATAACGCGTACGATGACCTGGGAAGAAGTATAAATCAGATTAGATGGCGAACGTTTAATATTGTGCGGCTATGGCATGCCTGTGTCTCCGAGTAATCCTTTTCCATATATGCTTCCTCGGCGCACAGCACACGTATAGCTAAGCCGGGTCCGGGAAACGGTTGTCGCTCGACCAGTTCCGCTGGCAGTCCCAGATCATTGCCCAGATCGCGTACCTCGTCCTTGTGAAAATCACTTAATGGCTCCACAACGCGTCCAGCATTGCGCAGCTCCCTGCAATGATACACGCGACTATTAGCGACAAATTTGCAAAAAGAAAGAGTACAAATTATCTCTACCGAATCAGATCCGTGTCATTGTGATGCGTCTTGATGGTCTCGGCATTCGTGCTGACCATATTCGAGGCGGACTCAATTAGATCGGGTCGCAGTGTGCCCTGTGCCAGCAACACCTCCTCGGGCTTCAGCTTTAGCTCGGCGACCACTTCGTTGGTCACCTTAACGAATATATCACCAATTATTTTACGTTTCTCCTCCGGATTGTAGGTCTGGCAGAGCATGGGCGTCTCAACCACCGAATACTGCCCCGGCCTCTTCACTTGCGTGGTACCCTTGAGGAACGTGTAGCCTTCCTTACGCACTATTAATTCGATGCCAATATCCCGCAACGAGCGCTCTACCTGTTCGCTTTCGTTCTTACGCATGAAACCTGTACGATAAAAGTTGTCAATTAAATTGCAATTAAACGCAAAAGATAAGTTATCTTCAGGGGTTGACAAAGATTAAGCGGATGTACATCAATTATAATCTTACGAAAAAACAAAGCTCCTTTCATGCCAGTTAGCATAGAAACTGACGAGCATGATTTTGACATATTTTTCTTTGAATTTTGCTGCTTCATTGCATGACTAATTGATAATTTATAAGTATATATATATATATATATATCGCAGTTTGCATTACCATTATCCACATGCACTGCAATTATTTGGCTGGGATGCAGCGCCCGTCGCAGCAGCGCTGCACACACACTTGAATCGACGCCGCCGCTGACGAGTAACTGTGTTGGAAGAGGGAGTCAGTTTAACATACTTTTTGATCTTTGTATATATTTACAGATTTATAGACATACCAACACTTTGTTATTGCCCACTTTTTCGCGTATGTAGCGTATGCATTCCTCCTTTCGACTACCCATGGTAAAGTTCGCAGTTAGTTCGCATATCTCATAGAGAAAATTGGAGAGAATCTGTTTGCCATTGATGGTTAAATCGACTTCTGGATGAAATTGAACACCATAGATACGCAACACCTCATTGTAAATGGCAGTCACAATGCGATTCGATGACCGGCCACCGACTTTAAGTTTATCACCCACTCGCTCCACGCTATCCCCATGGGTAAGCAGCACAGCCTGGGTGCGGCTCAGGCGACTGCAAGAGTTAAACATTTTATTAATTAAATAAATAATAATTTAGTTTCGTTGGTTAGTCTAATGCACATATTTACAAGTTATTAAAAAAAAAAAAAAAAAATCCCCAAGATAATGAAATAAATATGTAATGCCACGTGTAGAACAGATTATAGACTACGCAAAACTGAACTGTTCTTAGCATCTTGATTATAGTATAGCAGCATTGTATCAGCGCTCAAATAAGCTTGCAACTTGAACGCTTTCTTGTTGCTGCTGATTACATTAATTTCATCATCAGATGATTCTGATTATCTCACCTAAACAGCGGGCATGACGTTTCAATCTCAATATTCTGTTGGCCATCTTCTCGCAGATCCGTTTTGAGGACAGAGCCGCCGAATTCTTTGTTGATTAACTGCATGCCATAGCAGATTCCAAGCATAGGGATTTTCAGCTTAAACAGATCCGGGTCGTAAGTGGGTGCATCTTCGGCATAAACTGAATTGGGTCCGCCGGATATGATGATGCCACGATAGCCGCTATCACGTATCGTTGCCGCCGGCGTATCCAACGGTAAAATGTCCGATTCAACCAAAAGTTCGCGCACTTTGCGATCAATTACCTAAACAAATGACAAATGATAGTTAAAATGTGCAAGATTTGCTATCGATAACAACTCACCTTGCCATACTGTGCGCCAGCATCGAGTATAACAATTTTATCGTGTCGCAGTCCATTCTCCGCTGGCGTTAGAAATATATTTGAACTCATATCTTTATCGTTGCAGCACTGCCCAAAAAAAGAGAGTGAGAGAGAGAGAAGTAGCGTGATTAATAGTTGCAATTTAAGTAATGCAAACTTATGAAGCAGCTAACTGCAACTATCAATTCTCCAGTTTCTTAAGCCTATTTATATGCCAATAATTATATGTGGGTGAATGTATATATGTATGTTGTGTGTATGTCGACTCTGGTAGGTAACTGAAGCTGGTGCATCAAGGTCAAATTTGAATTTAAAAAGAGCAATATCAAAAGCAATAAACAATGACACATTAACACATACCGGTAAAATCTTGTGGATCACACGTAGAATCATTCAACATGCAGACCAAAGTGTTATTTGCCACAATTCTACGATAGACAACAAACATTTCCATTTTGGTCAGCAGCAATGAGTATAACAAACAAACAAACAAACAAACAAACAAAAATGTTTTTTTTTCAAAGGGGGTCAAATGGTGACGCCTTCAAAATAAATTCGAGCAAATTTTTGCGCTGTTTGCGAACGAACGTAAGCTGTAGGTGGGCAGAGGGTGGAGGGTGGTGAACTTGACGTAAGTCTAGGCAAAAACAACTGATTTCGACTATGAAAATTTCACACAGTGCTATTTGTTTTATTTTTTTTAGTGCGCGAGACCCTCGATGGGGCCGGGGCCGGCTACTGACCGCGACAGATGACATGCAGAAAGAGCATGAGAGAGTATGAGTGTGTGTATGTGTGTGCGTGAGATGTGTGCGTGTGTGAGCGAGAGAAGAGATGTGAACAGCAGGCAGACAAGCAGGCAGGCAGGCGAATGAAAACTCAAAACACGCGCAGGCGATGGATGCTAAATGAAGAAAATGCGTAAAACAAAATGTGCAAGAAGTGCAGTGTGCAAGAAAGTGCAACGGTAAATGTGTAATGTTTGACAGCTCTTGTTATTGCTGTTTTGCAATGCATTGTTTGTGTGTCTGGCTACTCTCTATTCATTTGCAATTTTTTGAAGCTTCTTTTGGATAAATTACAATGTGGCCGTTCTTTCAACGCACAACATGCAGTGCGATAACCGACAGCAACAAACAACAAAAAAAGAAACACAAGTTAAAGGCTATCAACAAGCACCAAAAACAACAACTGCATATTTGCAATATGAGCCGCGCATGGGGGACACTCACACGTGGGGCGATTGTCTTGAAACAAGCTTCTAACCACAATGCGACCAATATTATCATATTCTCTTAATGCCATGCGAAAGCGAATACAAAAGTCGGTCAATAAACACGCATTTCGCACACGCATTAATTGCAAAAAAAAAAAAAACAGAAACAGAAAAGGAAGAAAAAAATTTATTTGTGATGCGCGACGCTGGCTGATGTTGCATTTCTTACCTGCGTATTGATTGCCGGGCGGACCAAGGGTAGAAAACTTTATGCTTAAACACTAAATGTACGTTTATTGTGGATGCGGGTTCCCGTTGTGTTTGATATTTGCACTTCCTTTTCCCTTTTCTTTTCGTTTTATTTTTTTTCTTTTGGCAAAACAGCACCGCGTCCGTCTCCGTGCAAATGCAAGCAAAAATATATGTGACGAATTTTCTGGGTGCTATCTGAGAGCCGATGCACTTAGCGTGTAGTTGTTTGATTGATGTTCCGTTTTGTGCTTGTTTATTGAACAAGCGGAAAGACGCGATTTATCACTGTCGAGAGCATTAAAATTTAAATATTACGGTGCTCCGCTACTAAACTTTTCGTGAATAAAAGCCGAAAGATGACATATTGACGAAGAAACTAGTGTTGGGTTGTGCATGCAAGAAAAAGAACTAATTGCTTTACGGAGTGAACTATATTTCACCATGAGCCAGGGAATCAAACCGATTCGTATTCTAGTTCCAGTGTCAGTTTTGGTTCTGAATTTCAATCGCTTAATGTCATATAAGGGTTCCAGTTTCATTCTGGTTCCCTGCCCTGACAAATGAACTCCAGAAATTCTCATTATACAGCACTAGTTGAGCAAGACTGCTAGTGTTGCTGCCGATACATTGAGCGATAACTAAATCGCAAGTGTTGGTAAATGCATCCCATGTAGTATTGCTCAATACACATCAGCTGGGCCCGCCAAAAGCGATTTGTATGCGCGCTATTTTGATTAACTTGTCAACAATATTTTATGCGCTGCAAATTATTCTAAGACAATGGGTCCTGCTAACGTATCGCAGTCAGATATAAGCATAGAAGACGAGGCTGAAATATTGGCATTGGAACAACTACTGGGCGATGTGGATAGCGATAATGCATCAAATGCAAACTCAGCAACAAAACCAACGCCGTCTACTTTGTCCACAGTAGTTCCAAAATTACGCGATGACAGCAGTTTTGCCGATGCATTTAGCTACGAGAAGACAGTGAAACAAGCAAAGACGATCGTACAACAAAAACCCAAATCTACCGAGCCGGAACTCGATTCATCGGACGACGAGGAGGTCAAGAACTTCTTGGAACGCAAATACAATGAGTATGGCAGTGATATCAACAAAAAATTAAAACAACAACGAGAATCGGTACATGAGAGCAAAGTAGCACGCGAAGTGGATCAATCGCTGAAGACAACAACAAAATTTATCAGCTCTACGCCACAGCCGGAAGCACTGCGTCTCAAGAATCCACATAATCCCATCCAGCGCAAATCGCTGACTAGCAACTCCTTTCAAAGACCTCCACCAGCAGCAGCAGCAGTAACTACCAGCTCCAGTCCCTCCCTGCAGCAATCGACTATTTCGACTACCTATACAGATCCTGTTTTTGGACTGCGCATGATTAATCCACTCATTTCGAGCTCCTTGCTCCAGGAACGCATGAACAGCCGCAAGGCAGTGCCCTTCTCGGCTCTAGCATATCACATCGAGCGTGGTGATTTGGCCAAGGATTGGGTCATTGCTGGAGCCTTGGTGTCCAAGCAGCCGGTACGCAATACCAAAAAAGGTGATCCCTACTCCACTTGGACGATATCGGATCTGCGTGGTGAGGTGAAGACTGCATCCATCTTTCTGTTCAAGGAGGCACACAAAACGCTTTGGAAAACGGCGGAAGGCATGTGTCTGGCTGTGCTTAATCCAACGATCTTTGAGAAACGTGCGGGCAGCAAAGATGTCGCTTGTCTCTCCATAGACACCTCCCAAAAGGTTATGATACTCGGTCAGTCCAAGGATTTGGGCCATTGTCGTGCAACCAAAAAGAATGGCGACAAGTGCACAGCTCTGGTGAATATCACAGACTGCGATTACTGTGTGTTCCACGTGAAGCAGGAGTACGGCAAGATGTCCAGGCGATCCGAACTGCAATCGGCCAATGCGGGTCGCGGTCTCAACGAGTTGCGCAATAAGGTGTTGGGTGAGTTGAGCAGGCTGAAATTGGATGAAGTCAGTATTAATCGATACACAAATCCACAGGCAAAAGTGAGGTATTCTATGGCGGACAGACCTTTACGGCGGTGCCGGCACGCAAGAGCGCCAAGCTGATCAGCAAGGAGCGCGAACGTCTGAGCAAACTAGCTGGCTACGACTTGTCTCCGTTTGCCCACAGCGTTGATCACGAGTCTAAGCCGAAAGTGATGCCTGCCGATATACCCTATGCGGAGCGCGGTGGGCCAGTTTCCCGGCTAGCCGACAATGTGCAGGCGTCCACGAAGCAGCGCTATCAGGATCTCGAACGTGTGCGTCTATTGAAAGCGGAAAATGAGCGATTACAAAAGCAAGCTGAAGCAGCAGCAGCTGCAGTAGCAGCAGCAACGACTCCAGCAACACCAGTCAAGGAGGTTGCCACGCCCACAACGCCACAGAGCGTACCGGATAAGTTCAAAAATCGCGGCTTCTCCTTCGATGCCAACGTGACGCCCAAACTCGCGGGAAGCGAGAATTTTAACTTTGAGGTGAATGTGGGTGCACGTCAGGCGCAGAGCGCCAAAGTGAAAGCAGCCGCGCTGCTCAAGAAGAAGCCGCTGGAGAAGGTGAATCCGAATTCTACGCGCGGCACGGAGACGGGCAAACGGCGAGCCATCGATGAGCTCAACGAAAAGTTCTCCAGCAGTGCGAAGCGTCAGAAACTAGAGGAAGAGGATCGCGAATTTATGCGTAAATCACGCATTGAACGCATCATGGCCGCCACTTCGACGCACTCAAATCTGGCCGAGATGCGCGAACAGGAAGCACAGAATGACTACTTTAACAAGCTGGAGCGCAAGGAAGCGATGGAGGAGAAGATGCTGAACACATATAAAATGCCCTGCAAGGCAGTCATTTGTCAGAAATGCAAATACACCGCCTTCTCCGCCGCCGAGCGTTGCAAGGAGGAGAGGCATCCACTCAAAGTGGTGGATGCCCAGAAGCGTTTCTTTCAGTGTAAGGATTGCAGCAATCGCACCACCACCGTCTTCAAGCTACCCAAACACAGCTGTAGCAGCTGCAAGGGATCGCGCTGGGAGCGCACAGCTATGATACGGGAGCGAAAGGTGTGCACAGGCAGGGAATCGCTGTCGCTGCGTGGCGATGAGGAAAGCCACCTCGGTAGCACGGCCAATGCAGCGAATCTTAATCTCCTAGTGCCAGAGGAGGAGAGCTAATCATATATGTGCATTGATTCGTGTTATATATATAGAAATATAGCATACAAATTTATATATTTATTTATATACAGTCTAGTTTTTGGCATATACATCAATAAATACAAATGGTCCAATGTCTTATGGCTTAACCTAATATATCTTTGTATGCCGCATATATTTATGTATGTTTATATATTTGTATGGCAAAATCAAGTGCCTAAATTTATAGATTAATGCGTGAAATACTTGGGATAAAATTGTTGTGCACATGCCTTAAGCAACATTTTTTTTATAAGTAAAATACACAATATAAATAAATATAGTTATTTGGTATGCTCTAAATACTTGACTTTTAAAATGATACAAAGGCATTTTTCAAATTGCACAACGCAAAAGTTATCATTTCATTTGCTTTAAGCTAATTCATGAACTTTTTTCATAGCATTCGTGACAAGAAGCGTATTTTCTCTTTTATAGGCGATTTGAACTAATTGTAAAATATTATACAAGGAGATTTCTTAAAAGTATGGCATAAGCTTAAGAGAGTTTATAAAGTTCATAAATATTTCGATTGGAAATTGGCGTATGGAAAAAATATGCAATTTTTGATTATATGTTTGAAAATGATGTAGACTTAAGGATTGACTTAATCGTATAACAAGAAGATAATTAAAAAAGAATAAATCATGTAAGAGTTGACGATAAATGAATACCCATAAAATAAATATAGCTGATCAATACCAAGAATTATTTAGATAATAGTAAACTTTCAGGAATAACTTTCATTTGGTAAGTTTCTCAATATGGAAGCATGTTTCTTTAGGACAGCTTCTATTAAACGTCTGGAATGTTATCAGCTGTTTTTATTAAGGTACTTGGTATATTTCATGGAAGAAAATTAGTGGATAGTAATAAAGCTGTAGAGTGGGAGTTGGCTCATCTTCGAAACACAATCCTGTAAATCTTATAACAAAATATTACCAAAATTTGGTCACTGCAGAAAGAAGAAACAACTAATATAAGAGATCTTTGGGCTTCTATAAAATAAAATCAGTTATCTAGGATGATGATCTTCGGAAGTATAATCCATCCCACTAGAAAGCTACACACTGTAAATGCAAACCGAGTATTCGAGTTAATTTTGGCAACATCATAAAGCTATCATAAAGTATACACAAGATTAAAACTAATTAACAAACAATTTGAACGGAAAATCAGGCGCAGTTAAAATGGAATTGGGGAAATTGGAATGCATAAGGATCAAAAACTTGTGTCGGACTTTAAACGGCATCCTCGGCATGTGGTTGCGGCGTCTCGGGATCCTTGAGATTAAGCAGACTAGAGAAACGAAATGAGATGGTCTTGGAGAGATGCTTCTCAAAGTCGCGATTATCGAGATTATCGGGTATCAGTGTATTGTTGGTCATGTCCATATAGGAGCGCCCACGCTTCACTGGCACAGCGTAATCCGGCAGCGCTGTTGCCGCAGAGATTGGACAACCATTTTTGGTCATATTACTGTAGCTGGGCGCACAGCTGGATTTGCGTATGTTGAGCGGAAAGCGAAGATCGTTCTCATAGCGCAACACCTGCTCCGTGGTGCTGGCCTCGATCAATGGACGGGGCAGATCATAGCCAGGTGGTGCTGCCGCTGCCGCTGCCTGAAATTCGGTGACAGACTCATCGCGACTATTGGCCAAATCCTGCAATTCATAGCTATTGATCTTTGGTGGCGACCACAGATGCTGCAGTGACTCCGGTTCACCCAGTTCCTCAATGTTCGGCATCAGTGCCGCCTCATCGCTGCAGTATAGCGGATTGGACACCGCATTCGTCTCCAGCTCTATGTACTTGGCATTATTGCCGAGTAACTTCTCAAATTCCGCTGCGAGGTATTTAAAGGATGGACGTGCATTGGGCTCATCCACCCAACAGGTGCGCACCACTGAGTAAACTGTCTCGGAACAGTTCTCGGGTCGTTCCATGCGATAGCCGGTCTTGAGTAGAGACCACAGATTCTGTGGCGCTATACCGGGATACGGTGAGGCGCCCAACGTAATCAGCTCCCAGCAGAGTACACCAAATGCCCAAACATCCGATTTGCTGGTGTACACATGATCCGCCAGAGATTCTGGCGCCATCCACTAAAACGAGTGCAGGAGTTTGAGTATATAAATATATATGTGGACTGCTCCTTTGAGCTACTTACCTTGACGGGCACACGATCTCTGGATCGCTTCAGATAAGCATCATCCTCGTAAACATCCCGGGTCAATCCAAAATCTGATATTTTACAGATTTTGCCATCGGCGAGGAGCACATTACGAGCAGCCAAATCGCGATGCACCAGCTGGAAGAGAGCAGCAGTAGGATTGGAATTATTGCTCCAGAATATTCACTGGTATTTCAAGCAAAAATCGAACTTACAAATTTAAATAGTGTATAATTTTACAGTGTATTTAATTTCCAAAATCAATTATGAATGTTCAGATTTGATACCATTATATATTATATACCAGATGACATATGTATGCCGTTGCTATTACGCACCTTCAGTTCCGTTAGATAGTTCATGCCCTTGCATATCTGCCAGGCAAAGGTGAGCATCATTTTGGCACTGACGGGCTCGACACCATCACTGAAATCGACGCCGGCACACTCGATCTTCCTGCTCAGACGCAGATAGCTGCGCAGCGAGCCATAGCGGGCATACTCGATGATTAGCAGAGGCGCCTCCGAGGAGAGCGTGCAGGCCCCGAGCAGCTTAATCACATTGGGATGCGAGACTTCCTGTAACAGTTGGAATTCGGAGAGCAGTGCCATATACTCCACGGAGTTGGCGCCCTTTTTGAGCATCTTTACGGCAACGGTGGTCACACCGGGCAATGCAGCAATCTCAGTGGCATAGCCCTTGAGCACCTGCCCGAACTCACCCTCACCCAGCACGGTGTCCAGCTGGAGTTGTTCCCGCGGGAACTCCCACTTGGCATCGGCGCTCTCGAACTTGAAGCCACTCTGCAGCGGCATGAGGGGCAGATCACCCGGTTCCAGGCTGCAGGACAGATTCTGCTTGGTTCCTGGCGTGACTGAATGTTTGCCCAAGCGTCGCTGCCAGAGTTTTCTCTGCGAGAGCAGCAGACAGAGCAACAGCAGCACGAAGAGCAGCGGACAACTGATCACGACTAGGATGCAGGATCGATTGCACTCCATGCCTGCCAGATGCAGTACGCCCAGCGCCAATGCACCATCCCGATCTTGATCTACCTGATCCTGCCCCTCCACTGGCCTAACGCTCACCACTTCCAGCTCCGATTCATTCTTCCGTCTACGCTGTTTTCGTGCCTTGGTCTCCTCCTCGTCCGGCAGAGGAGCACAGTTGCATTTGCCGTTATCTTCGCAGAGGCACGTGCCCGATCCACTCAGAATCCCCCGTCCATGGTCGTTGCTGGTGTGTGGACCCACAATTCTCGCAGCTGGTGTGCAATCCTGTGGACAGGCATGCGTATTCAGTTCCTCCAACGCATCGCACACGTGATCCGGACAATAGCGGGCATCTGGCACACAGGAGCCATAGTTCCGACTGAACATTGACGCACTGGAGCCACGCCAGACGCACGCCCCTCCATCGGTGGCCAGGCCACAGAACTTGATGCACTGCGTCCGATATTTGACCTGGGCGCAGGTCTGCGAACGCGACTTAAGCCGCAGCTCACAGCTGGTATTCGCCGGACGACCCTCTTCGAGATGAACATTGATGACAAAGGCATGTGGTTGCTTCTCCCCATCCTGCCAAGTCACATTCAAGAAATACACCGTCTCCGGCGCATGCTCCAGGGCCAGGGCATCGCGCACATAGACAATGCCCGCCGTCTCCGTTAATCCAAAGGCGCCACTGCGATCCTCGGCCAAAGCGAACCGCCAACCCCTCATCCAGTGCAGCTCCAGAAAGTTCTCCGGCTGGGCGACACGATAAAATGAGGCAGCCGCTCGATGCACAAACACATCCTTCTCATAGTCAATGCTCATACGGCGACGTCCTGCTCCACCCTCCCCAGTGAGCTCGCCGGTGCTGTCGAAGATGCGCTGCTGCCTCACCCGCAACGGCAGCGCCTGCGGTCGCTCCTGATCCTGACTGGTGTCCACGTGCAGACAGATGAGTGCCGTTGCCGTTGTTGTCACATTCCGCACCTGGATGGTCAAATCTCTCGCCTGCAATTCGAAGCAATAGGGCGTCTGAGGCAATATTCCATTTTTGGCAAAGCGTAGCTCTTGGAAAAATAAAAAAATAAATAATTTTTCAAAGTTAAAAAGCGACTTTAATTAAATAACTAGTGAAATTAATTAACACTTAATTAACTCCGTTAATCGCTATACTTACGACAGCTGATGATGGTATGGGGTCGGCCGGTGTGATCCGCCTCGTAGGCGTGACAATCGGGCCGAAGGAAACCCTGTTTATCATTAAGTATGGCATACTTCAGATGCGCATTCGCTGCCAGCGTGTCCTTGTCCAGGTAGATGATTTTATCGCCCACCGGCTCCTCCTGCAAGGAGACACGTGGAGTGGAGAGGAGTTCAACTTCATTAGCATTTGCATTAACTGACCAACGCTAATTAAATGCTACGTGGACCGCTCCCAGTGACCTCGAGCGCAAATTGCACGAGCTTTCTCCCCAAGGAACACACTGAGTACTCCTCCTGTCATTATCGCTAGTTTTTATGCACAAGGTCAGCAATTGGGGATACGGAGCGCTGGGAGACCTTTGGGAGCTGACCCCTGTGCTGGATATACTAGGAACTAGAAATGACTCCCTGATGTCAGAATATTAACCTCTTTCTCAGTATTAACTCTTTACTTTTAGGCACTGGGTGAGTTAAGAAGATGTTTGCATTGAAGATAGAATTACAATTACATAATCATTTTGCAATATATTGAATTTCTTGAATGATAATCAATTTGTCAACTATTTTATCAGCACTTTAACATATTTTGAATATCTTCAACTAACTTGTGAAATTTGAATGGAATGCAAAGCTTTATCTCTCTTAAATGTTGCTGGCAATATAAAGTCCAACTTACTAAACACTATCATATTAAAAACATGCCTCGACTGATGACACTTTGACATAAATTCCAAAAGCCTGTCAGCAATTACAACATGTATTCCCGCAGGGACACGCCTATCACTATTACTACTATTACCTTCACCTGGCTTTCTCCATTGGCTGGCTGTTAATTTGGGCGCATAGCTAATAAAAGAGCTCTTAATCTCATTTACAATTATTTCCATGGGATGTATACTTAATTTAAATACGAATTAGCTGCGACAAATTGTAATGGCTCAACCTTTAGGGTTATTTTTATTGTTTGCTGTACCCATTACAACTGATTGGAATGGGTATAATTATGTAATGCAATTGTATTAAACAGAAAAGAGCAGAAGTTTGAAGTTTTCGAACTTAACTCAAACATATCCTAGATTTATGTTGGATTCTTCATGAGATATTTTCTAGTTTGTTGGCAACATGCATTTTATTTATCTTGGATGCCACAGACTTCCACATATTAATATGATCTGTGTGTGTTTAAGCCTGGTCACAGGGCATCTGATAGTCGAGCACATTCATTTAATGCAATCTACGTTTTCATTTTAGTTGCGTAGTTATTTGAGTAAGTTTTAGCAATTACTTGCAACTAACTAACTAACAACTAAATGACATAGTTTTTGCGGCTCCTCGAGGCCACTCTGTGGGAATAGGCTTGGCTTCGCTGGGGCTCCACTTGGCCACAGCAACATGACAACATAATTTCAGAGGCAACCAGCCGCCCAACCAACCAACGACAGAAACTTAAAGCTGTTTTGGAGCTTGAATTCGTCGCGGCTCACTTGACACCCTTCGTGAAGGGAATCATAAAAGTTCGTCGAAATGCTATGCGTTTTTAATGATGAAAGCTATGAAAGTGAACTTCCCTGCCAGACAACATAATGGCCAAATAATGGCGTCGCTTTGGGTTTGCGTGTCCCGGGGGCGTTTATCAAGCGCAAATTCAATAAAGCCCGCACCCAGCTCGGAAAACCCCAGACAGCTGCCAGACAAACGTCTGCAAGGCAAAAACTTACCGCCTTAAAGTACGGCTGCTCCAGCCGGAAATTAAAGTGTGGCTGACGCTCCTGCAACCGGGGTCCATTGTCATTGCGATCCAGCAGTGTGACATTATAGCTTCGCCAGAATTGGCGCGATTCCCTCGCCGACAGTTTGACGGTGCAACTGATGCCAGCCTGCAGTTGACCAGCTCGTGTCTGGAGGCCATTCAGTTCATCATGATCCAGCGGCTGTTTGCTGTATAATCGGTTCTGTTTGAGCGCAAAATGAGCACTGCCCATTTTCAGTGAGTACTCCACGGATACCAGTGGACACAGATATTTGGCAGCACGTGAATTGAGTGCTCCAATTAGCACGGGCTGAAAAGTGGAGCTGCTCCTGCTGTGACTCGTTGTTTCGGCAATCGTATAATGTGCCCCAGACCAAAAGCAAATGTGCTCCAACTCTGCACAGTAATCAGTAAGATTTTGGGGAACTACTTCCAGCGTTAGATGAGCCACCTGTTGCAGCAGCTCCTCTGACTTCGAATCGGACTCCGAGTCATCCTGGTTGCGCGGAAATGCGGTCAGCACATATTTCACACTGCCATTCAAGGGTTTATAATCCGTGCGCATATAAACCTCACCAGAGCTGGCATTGATACGAAGCAGAGTGTTCTGCTCCAGATTGTAGATATAATCGTGGGCCAGTTGATTGTTGTCGAGGCGCAACACTTGAAACTGGGCCAGGGGTATCTTGGAGAATATGCTCTCCGACTCCTCATTGATGGGCAGCTTGAATTTCACGGAAGTGGTGGGAAAATAAACATCCAGAGCTGTCAAAGAGAAAGCATGACAAAAAGGAAATCAGTTGATTGGGTCAAGCACACCGTACACTGAGAGAAGAAAGACAAGAGCTAAAGAAAAGTAACAAATATTTTATAGTAATTGTTATCCAATTATGATCAATCAACTGAAAGTATTCACAGTTTATATTATAATTAACAGGAATAGCTTATAAAAAGTTGCTCAGATTCGTCAGCCGTCTCAAAAAGTGTGTAAAGTATATTTTTCTCAGTGTATGATTGATGCAAATCAATGACCAACAGAGTGTGGCGACCACAAGTGGTACTTAAGTAACTGTCCCAGTTCCCAGCTCCAGCCCAACTCCAAAACCCATTCCAGTCCCACTCAAGTGCAACCCCTGCCTTATTTGTGCTGGATTCTCTCATCCCCCTGATACTCATCAAGAGATTCGAGTATTTACCCATTATATGCTCAGCACACTCATAAATTGAGAGTCGTTGAGACTCATAAAAATTATGAATGTAGTTTAATAAGCTTGCTCTGACCCCAATAAGAGAGCATTTAATACAGGATGGGGAGCCCTGCATTAAATCCTACGCACAACACACGGCGTATGCGTAATTTGATAAGATTCTTTATGCTGCTAATGACGCCAATTGTTATTGTTGTTGTTGTTGTTTTTATTGTTGATATTGTGGTTGATATTACTATTGTTGCTGGGTCGTGCGCTTGCATACGCTCAAGTCCAATACAAGCCATAAATAAATATAATACAGATATTAGTTATTAGCATATGGGTTATCAAAATGAAACCCACCCACACAATCAGAATCACACACGCCCTTCCATTCCACTCCTCTGCTCTCTTGTCCGCGTCATCGCGTATTGATTTTGTGATAACAAATAAACAAACAATTTATGTAGGCAAAAAACTAACCAATTTTTGTTAAGCGTAAAAATACAATTCAATGCATAATTGGTAACAAAATATTTGTTGTTCGATCAAATTTGGAACAATTTTGGTTGGGGTGAAAGCATTAAGTGCCTGCTGAAGGGTTCAAATTGGGGTTACGGGTGGAGAATTTCTATGGCGTGAAGTTTGTAATTAAATTATAGATAGAAACGGTGTAACTGTCACTGCTCAAATGGTAATACAAATAACTATACCCTCTAACTATACGAAAATATAGACTACAAATGTTGTAAGACTTTGGTTTTTCAGTTTAAGTTTTAATAAACTCTCACGCAATGCAAACTTACTGAGCTCAATAAATATTCAAAGTATGAAAAGACAATCTTAAGTAGTTAAGCTCATATCTTAGTCAAGGACCAAGCACTTTATCATGCCCCAACTGGTGGCTGTTGCCCATAAACACACCATTGGCGCCGCATTGAGTATAATGCCAGCATAAAAAACTATTTTCAAGCATAATTCCCCAACTGTCTAAGGACACACGCATATTTTGTATATAAACAAATGCTGACTGAATTAATTTTTTGTGGGTGTTTTTTTTGCTTAAAGAGCGCCAAGGACACGAACACAAATACAGGATACAACGAAGCCTGACGCCATTCCTTCTACACGTATGTAGTATTCCTATTCCCTGCCCCCCTGCAACACATCCGCCAAGCATTTAAAATGTCATTATAAATGCGTGTCTGTGAGTTTGTCGCTGCTCCAACATATCATCTACATATTTTATCAGACATTATTCGCATGCCTGAGCGTTGGCAATTGTAATGAAAACGTTCATAATTTATAATGCGAGTACATAAAAACACACTCAAACACACTCACACTGATGGGCATAAGTATGCGTACCATGTGAGCATATTTAGCTGATTTCTCCACATCTTCATTTGTTTGAACTGTTTGCCATAATTATGACAGGTATTTAGTTAGCTGGGCTGGCATTTTGCGGCATCCAATTAGCGACAGTTTCTTGTTTACATTGCCCTCCACAAATGTTGTGTTTATGATTAGTTGGAAATGGCAGTGCCAGAGCCAACGAATGTTGTTGCCAATTTGATTACAGCTTTTGTGAGCTTTCAATGAGAGAGAGAGATATGGCATTCCACAAAATTAATATGCAAGAATGTTACTTGCACTGGAATATGCATACTAGATCACGAACGTTTAAAACTAATTTTAATTACAACAATTATCGTATTGATTATTTTGTGCTCGATTCATTTAATAATTGATCTATCGAATGCAATCCCATTGGCTGTTCTTCTTCAAGTACTTCTTGGTCAAGCAGTCGCTGCCCCAAGCTGGCTGCCTGAAGTTGTCCATCTGCGCAGCAGCAGTTGCAGCTGATGCAGCATTCTTGGTGGCAACAGCAACAGGAGGCTTAGTGGCAGTTGTTTTATCCACCTTTGTTACTCTTGGCAGTTGGAGACATCCTGAAATTGGAGAACCAATGCTGCTGCTGCTAAAAATGTAATGCAAGTTAATGTTGAAATCGCTGGGGAATCGCTGCTGCTAGCACCGGTTAGGAGTTGTAATTCATCTAGTGATTGCATGCAAAGTAAACAACTCCAGTGGGTGTTCCTATTTACCCCAACACTTTCAGCACTTTATAGTTAAACTGATTCCAGCTAAATCTAAAAAATAAACCCAAGTAAGTGCTTACTTGACCGTCTTTAATCTGTAAACGCAACTTGAACTCCATGCCCCTGGGGAAGTGTCACAAACATTAAGTAAAAGTCAACAGCTTACTATGGGCCAAAAGTTGTGTGTTTTTCTTTTTAATAAAGTCCATTTCATTTTAATTTAATTTTAACGCTGTCAGACACAGAAATAAGCATATTAAAAGTTGTGTGGCAACAGTTGGTATCTTGATTTTCCGACTTTATGCCAAAGAAATTGACATTTTGCCCATGGTGCAGTTGTTAAAAGGGAGTTGGTGGTGGAAAAAGGTAAGAAGAATACACAAATAAAAAACGAGCCCAGGAAAACAAGACTATCTATCAGAAGGACAATTAAAACGGGACGGAATGGCGCATTAAAAAGTCAACTGACGCTAGATAAAAAATGCAGGACTTTTCTTCTTTTGTTTTTGGGGTGATTGGACACACGCTAATGACAACAGCAGTCAACAAAGTGTCCTTTGGGCCTTTACGGCTCGTACCTGAACTTGGCCGCAACGACTAACGGGTGTAGGGGGCTGGGGTGGGGTGGTTCCGTTGGTTCCGGCACCGGGTAATTGGAGACTGAAAACTGTAGTTGAGGTGCGGCTAGTTTCGACTCAATTAATTAATCTGCTCAAATTAATTGACTTTGCATCGAATTAGGTCGTTCAGCTGTTTGCCTGGTTTACTTGTTTGCTCTTGCCTGTACTTGTTGTTGTCCTTGTTTGTTTACCCTACACCTTCATTCGGTGCGTTGTCCTTTTTGCCGTGTGAGTCATTTGTTCGCGAATTTCCACACACAGCATCCGGTCATTAGTTTTTATTGTCATCTTTCTCTTCTCTTTTTCAGTCTGCGTAATGAAAACTTTTTCTCTGTGACAGTTGTATTTTTGTTGTTAGTTTTTTTGCTTTTTTTGTCATCTGTGTGTGTCAAATGTTTTTCCAGTCCAAGCTTCCACTCTTTTCATTTTTTGTTGTGCTATTTTTCATTACTCATACGACCCTTGCAGACGTCAACAGTCTCTTTGAAACTGGCATTTAGCTTGGCAACTGGCAACTGGCAACTGTGGCTTATTGTCTTTGGCAAAGGCTCTCGTGTTCACATTATGAAATTCGTTCCGTTTGTCTCCGCACTTTCACTACACACTTACATATAAGCATCGTTACTATATATATATATATATATATATATATATATATATATATATATATGTGTCTGTGTGAAATACTTGTGTCATCCAATTGCTTGTCTTGTTTCCTGCTGCTGTCCCTAAAGGTTTTCTTTGTCTGTCTGCCAAGACAAATTGAATAACAAATAACCAGACTGTGAACAATTTGATCGATTATTAAAGTATACACTATCCAAAATAAATATCAATAAATAATTTGCAATATTCTATTACACCTTAGACAAGCTCACAATCTCTCTGGACTCTCATAAGTAAAATTATAAAATAATGTGTGAACAGAAGATTAAAATAAATATGATTAAACAAGGCAAATTTTCTATAATCCCCGCAATTACATTGAATTAAACACATAATTTTTTCGATTTAAAATTAATGAATTTAAATTGAATACATTTTTCAAGAAAATGTTTAATATTTTTTACAATAATACAAAATACGCTTTTTCGGCTATTGAAACTTGCTTGCAGCTTTGAGATAACATGCCCATAATAGTCAAAATTCGGTAGGTATATACCCTACCTTCAGTTGAGTATTGTAGGGTATAAGAAATGAATAGTTTTACTTATCGATCTATATTCACATTTATTGCACTTCCACAAGTTGTCTCAACTTGAAAGTATCTCAGCAGATAAAAGGGAAAACAACATCCACTCTGAATGCAAATGAACTTGAAAGACTTTGCTCGCTTTATTCAATATGCAGTCAGCGGGTATAAATACGAGTATTCATATACGCACACCAACACACACATACACACACACACGCACACCAACACACAGACACCTACACACACACAGCTAACGCTTCAAATAGGAACACATTGCTCTAAAAAAAAGGTGATCGATGGTTGCCTCTCGTAATTGTTAACTGTCACCACACTTACACAGAGAGAGAGTGAAAGGGAGATAGATAGAGAGAGAGAGAGAGCCAAACACATTTGTCAAAGTCAGCGGACAAGTTTTACTTTCTCATATGGTAATTGGGACTAATTAACTGAGCCTACAATTAGTTCAAATCGCATATGGGGGAGTGAGCAATTAATTAGAAGTGTATCGTTGAAGGTGTTACTATTTATATGGTAGGCGCTGTAACAGCTGTTGCTCTGGCAAGTATGACAAATGCAAACCTATTAAAGTTTGTCAACACACAGGAATTGTAAGCTGAATGCAGTGCTTTATACAAATTTCCATCATAGGCAAAAATAATAAAAAAAAAGAATTGCACTTAATGCATTTGTTATGTGGCGTATCTGGGTGCGTCAGACAGACAGACAGCTCTCATAATTGTGCTCATTTTTTTTGACAATCTCTACACGAATTTATTGCCATGTATTTGAACTATGAGTGCTGAACAGCGACCTTGTCTGTTTCGCAAGTTTCTTGCTGTATTATAATGATTATTCACTTAAATTTGCGTGTTAGAGAGCAAATACTAATTGCTCTTTGGCTCTGTTGATTTTGTAGAGTTTATTTATTGTTTAGACAGATACTTTGTTAGCATGCAATAAATGCACTTTTGAAATCGTCGTCTGTCAGCTTAGCTGTACACCCGTAGGAGTCTTGTTTCCATTAAGAACCCAAATCGTCAAGCATCATCCTTGACCATTTTCCTCGCATCATCTGCCCAAATGTTCTTCAACTTAAATTATATTCATCAGATATAAATACATAACTGGGGATTATACTCAATTAAAGGTGATAAAATTAAAGGTCACACCAAACTTTTTGCCATAAAAAATCGATAGAAAAACATTTTAATGACTTGTTTATCAAAACAAACAAAAAACACTTTAAATGTAAAATTTGTTTCCATTTTATGTAATATTTCTCTCTATAATTATTGCTATTCTCAAGTAATAAAAAATATTTTCAATTTAGTTGTCAGCTGGATTTTGGCATCGTTTCCATATTTGTTTAGTTCGTGTAGATTGAGTTGATTGTCAATTCGTGTCGTGTTTAAACAAACACGTGAGCAGCTCCGATTTGCAAGACTTGCTTGGCATACTACATGACAAAAAAAAAAAAACATATCAAACAATTACAACAATTTAATCAAAGCCGTGTGACCGCTCTATATGGCAATCAGAGGAGGACTGAGGAGTGGAGGAGAGAAGAGAGGACGCTTAAATGCCTGGGCCAGAAGCCGAGCCGAGCCGAGCCAAGTGCCAAGCAAGCAAAGCGTCCACGGCCACTTAAAAACTCGCACAATGCGAAATATTGTGAGCAAAATACATAAATAAAGCAAAAATCGAGGAACGATAGTTGGTGCGAGGAGCGGAGAGGGGGGAGCAGGGAGAGGGGGGCAGGGTGATACGATACACACACCTATTGACTATTGACTTAATTGATTTCGCATAAATTGAGTTTTTATACACTTTTATACCGTTTTGTTTCGGCTGGCAGCTGTTGTCGATTTCGACACCTTTAACCTGATGATTGTGGAGACAGAGGTGCAATGAGGGGGACAGCGGGGGACAGAGGGAAGCGAGGCACAAACATTTCTGCCCTGTGCCCAGTCACGACGACGCAGTGCGTTCAACTTGGGCCAAATGCAAATAGAAGCCAGCTCCGAGTCAATATGTGCCAAAGATAAAGTCAACGAGAGAGACAGAGAGAGACAGAGAGGGGCGCGATTGCCATTAGAGGAGGAGGGATCGACTGAGGTCAGCTGTCCAATGCTGACGCTACTGACTAACTGACTGACTGACTGTTGAACCTACCCCCGAAGGTAGCTCAACAAATTTGATATGTCTATGCGGTAAAAATAATTTTGGGTGTGTTTCAAATGCACTGTTCAAAAAATGGATTTGCAATATTAATTACTATGATTAATAGTTTGTTTCTTAGCCAGCTGCTTAGGATTGTTAATATATCAAAATTTGTAAGCATTTGAAGTTCCATTTTCAATGCCTTGTGTTAATTATTGTTTATATTTATATTTATGTTTAAGCATAAAAACATGTACGTAATTTACGTAATTTAAGTAACAAATTTATGTATCCTTCATGTACATTTCGTTTAACTTGATTTCTAACTTTTAAACTTGGGCTAGAGCAATTAAATAAAAATAAATTACAATAATAAACAGGGTCCAATTTTCAATTCCAACAAATATCAAAGTTTTTCAGAACGTAGATTTTAATTGAAATATTACCAGTTAATAATAATTCAAATGACAATTAATATGCAGTAGTATTTTAAGCAATAATTTAATTTGATTATTCAAATTTTGAAAAAGTTGTTTAAATTTTAAGCCAAAGTTGGTTACAGTGTACACACATACGCACATCCGCTATTAACAGGCAGTCAGTCAGTCTGTCAGCTGGTGTAGAAGCCTGTAGTCCAGGGCCATGCCCACAATATCGCTTACTAATATGTCAAAAGTGTCCGTTGCCATCAAATTGGAAGCTCACACCTGTGACGACGAGTCCTCATAAAATGGGGAATGAAAAGTAGAAAAAAACCGAACCGTATGCGGTACCTTTGAGCATATCATTGAGTAAAGCATTATAAACCACAATAAAGCACACATAAAAGAGCCACCAACTGCATCATAAATGTGGTGGTGGCGAAGTGGGGCTTTTGTTCAGGTATTAAAAACGCAGTTCTTCCCTTTCTGTAGCTGTATCTGTAGCTGTGTTTGTATCTTTAATTGCATTCCCACGCAGCGTATCTGTGAGATTTGATTTGCTCGCCTGTCCGCCACACGATGCAAATTAGTGTAATTGGACATTTTATGATCGTATCGCTGGGGCGTGCTTTTTGGATATGGGGCGTGCTAAGTATCATTGATTATTGCCTTTTCGAATCAGTTGCACTTGCGTTGGAATGCGGCACACTGCCCTGCACTGCACCAGTTCAATTTACTTATTGGTCTTATTGTGTCCAATAAAATACACTATGTTTGTTAATGGAAGGCTCGTAAATATGATGTTGATCACTTTAGTTATCTTTTCTTTAATTTACTTTATTTTCCCGTCTGTCTTTTCTATTTTTTGTACTATTCTGATATAATCAGCTTATAATTGTTGTTGTAAATAGATATAATTTTAGCTAGTTATGTATTTACCAGCATTTCTACTTTGTTTTTTATCTATCTTTTTTGCATCACTCTATCTCTCTCTCTCTTTCTCTCTTTCTCACGATCTTCGGCATCCTCATCTTGTTTTCTTCGTGTTTTAGCTGAAGTATCTCAAAGGCATTTCACCCCTTTAACCTTCTTTTTAATTTAATGAGATCAAATAATTTTGGGTATGTCTCTATTTCTATCATTCTATCTCTCTCTCTCTGTCTCATTTTTGTGTGATCTTCTCTATGCTCATCATGTTTTATTTTTACTTCAGCTAAAAGTATCTCAAACTCAAATCTCCCATTTTTTTACGATGAATTAAATTTGCAGTCTATCAAGTTACGCTTAACTCCTTCTGTCTCTCTCTCTCTCTCTGTCAAATTCTATCTGTGTCTCGCCTTCCATCTCTCTCTCACACTCTATCTCCCTCTCTTTCTCTATTTCTCTGTCTCTCTCTCTCCCTCTGGAACAACACTTAATTTTGGCACGATCTCCTCTATCCTCATCTTGTTTTCTTCGTATCGCAGCTAAAAGTATCTCAAACTTGATTTGCCACTTTATCTGCTCTGTAGATTTGCAGCCCATTAAGTTCTCGGGGCAAGCGTGGCGGCACTCAAATGCCCAACTTGTTGGCAGTTTCACAAGTTTCTTATCAAGCATTTACATCTAATTGTTGACATTTGCATGTGCCTATCAAACATTTCTATTTCAATTACGAAAATATAAAATTAAAACACCCACACACACACAGAGAAATGTATATCTTTCTCGCTCACTTACCCAAACAGCTGTGCAGCTTCAGCAGAACAATGACGGACAGAATAACGGTACCGCTGTTGAACGCCATCTTTTTTTACGCGTCTGCTTCGAGCAGCGCTGCAAAAATACGAAGAACTTCTTTGTTTGTTCCTTATCTTTGTTGTTATTATTTATGTTTTGGATTCTTCTGGTTGGTGTCTGCTTGGTGTCTGTGGTCTGTTGTCTTTTGTGTGGAGTTCTGTTTCAATTTCTCGTGTTTTTTCTTTTTTGTATTCTATTATTTGCCCAGCCACTTGGCAAATTGTTTGCTCTGTTTTGTAATTGTAATTGTTAATTCCACTATTTGACAATTATCTTCCTCACGCACTTTTCACATTTTGTCTGTGTGTTTTCTTTGATGTGTTGGTTTTTTGTTTGTGTTCAGGTTCCACTCATTTAATTACTTTTGATCACAAATTGATAAAAGACACATTTATCAATTAATGTGCGAAAAAAGCAAACAGCAACATCTATGCAGCGATAAAAGAAGGCAACAAAATAAAAAATAAACAATCAATTATTATATTTTTAAAGAGCTCGACTAGTAGATACGCTGTTAACGCTTGATCGGGTAAGTGTCTTAAAAGGTGCCAGGCTACATGATACTCTGTTTTCATGTCTGCAGTAAGCCAATAAAAAATTTTCTTATTTCATTTGGGGCTTTTAAGCAATCATATTTTCACAACTAAATTATAACCCTTTTTTCAAGCGAATATTTAATAATAAAAGACAAAATTACAACACACAATTCTTCAATAGTTCTTTCGTCAGCACTTTGTTATTATTACTTATTTTTTTTTTATTGATAACAGCACCCACGAGTCGCACCCCCCTCAGTACTTCTCTCAGAACCCCCTTCAGTTTGGCTCCCTTCCCTTAGTGCTCGACTGCTGGCGCCTGGTCTTGAATTCAATTTATCATAGAGTTAAGGCCACACAAAGTTCCAACGAGCTCAAGGGACTTTGTCTACAATTTCTGATTATTGCAATTAAAAAATGTGCTTCGATTTTGTTTCTTTTCTTTTTGTTGTGCTTGTTGTTGCTGTTTGTTGTTGTTGTTGTTTTCGTGTGCTCGTATTACAATATTTTTAGATTAATTTCTGTTGCTTTTGTGCTATTTTTGGCAAATCGATTTAGCACTCGTTTTGTATTTATATGGGGATTGCTGGGTCTTAAGTCAGACTCAGGCCGAGGCAAGCCCCTGGTGCGAGCATTTTTTTTTTGTCGATTCATTGAACAAACACAATTTTGGCATATTTAATTGATCTTTAAATTAAAAGCATTTTTTTCATACACTTCCTGGAGGTATTATAGTTTTCCGAGAAGTGTAGAACTATTTTGTTTTTCAAAACCAACACAAAACTGCTTGGAACTTTATCAATATCATTTAACTTTAACTTATAGCTGTGCTGGCAACGATCAGTTGTGTGTTAAGTTCTTTGAAAAAGGTCAGCTGTCTGAAGTCTACAAGAGTATTAAGACTTCGTCACTCTAAAAATGATTTCTGATTTTTTTTGTAGCTTGTTAAATAAATTTAATCGTCCACATAATTGTTTCGACAATTTTGAACATAATAATTTTTGGACAGCTTAAAAGTAACAAAAATTCTTTGCTTAAAAATTTTAACGGGATGTGAGGCTCACGAGTTCAGTTTGAAGTGGGTTGCCTACAATTTGTTAAGTGTGTTAGGAGAGGGGGGGCAGGGGGCAAATGGAAGTACTTTTGAGCTATACAAAATGTCAGGTGTGATAAAAGAGTGGCATTGGGGCATGTGCAGATAGCACAAAGCATAATTCAAAAGAGGCTCAAAGTCAGACAACATGATAAGCAACTGCAACCGAATCGACAGAGTGACAAACTGACAGTCGAGCACTGCACCTGAAGCCACTTTAAAGTTCAACACATTTGACACACTGAGCCGCCGCACAACAACAACAACAACTGACACAAAGCCGGCTTCTGAGCCGGGCCAAAAGCCGCCACTTGCCAATTTGTGAGTGGACTCTAACTCCGACAGCCAACATACAACATCCAACATCCAACAGGCTTTTGTATGCGGCCAATTGGCAGTTGGCAGCTGCTAGCTGCTTGGTTTGTCTCTTTTTCCACTTCCTCTATTCAATTAAAGGTTAGAAATAAAACGCGACGCGATTTATACACATACATATTATACATATATATATATATATATATATATATATATATTAAGGTGCGTCCTGTTGCGGCCGAAAAAGGCAGCGCCATAAAACGGGAAATGTTCATCCGACAAGTCGGCAAACAAACAGCCAGCCGCAACCAACAACCGACAACCGACAATCGACAACCGTCGCTGGCAAAAGTCAAAGTAAAACTGTTTCAGCTTGCATGAATTTCTGGCTTCTCAGAAGCGTTGTTGTCGTCACAATTGTTGTTCGTTATTGTGTCTATCGCTGCTAATTCTTTGTAGCAATCGCCAAAAACCCAAAAAAAAAAAAACACACACACAAAAAAACCTGAGAATTGTTTGTTATGCTTTTGAAATTTCGGAATATTCGTGGGAGCTGTCAATTTTGAAATGTTTTTCATTTACCCCTCAGCCAAACGAACTATGAAACTGGGTGTTTTACTTACTGACTTACTTCTAATATTTTTGAATTTAATTTATTATATTTGTGAAATTTAGTGTTTTGCTTGTGGTTTTTATATATAAATATGTACATTCCACATTTAATTAAAAATTATATTTTCTTTATTGTTTTTTAAATAGATTTCAGTATGAAAAATATATCCTGAGTATGAAATAACTTTTTTTATTAACTTGAAAATGTATTACTTGAATCGATATACTCCTGAGTATGAAATAACTTTTTTTATTAACTTGAAAATGGCATACTTGTATCGATATACTCCCAGATATTTTTGCAGGGTAGCTTCAAGTCTAACACCTGGGCTTGCCAAGCTCTTTTTTGATTTCCACGAAAAAAGGTATGTTGGGTATGCTAAATATTTGTTTGGCAACGGTGGCGAATGCGTAATATTTAAAAAACTTACTGAAGACAACGTAATTAGTCAATTCTTTGTTCATAAAACTAAGCTGATAAACTGAATAATTACTATATATTGTTATTGAATTAATCTCTCTTGAAACACTTTCATCGCTGACGGTAGAACACTTTAAACCGATTTGTATTACAATTTGCACGTAGATTGCAAAATGCAAATTGGCTGAGATTAATAATTGTCATATAAATAGTCATTAATCAAACGTCTCTCAGTTTATAATTATAGTATTCAACAGAGTATGTAGTATTGAACTAGTATTAAACTATTTACACATTTGTGAATAGCAGCTAATGAGATTCAGTGTTATTGAGATATCGACTTTTATTTCGCACAAAACATTTGCATGCAATTAGTTGTTGTTAAAAAATAAATTAACTTTTTTGGTGCTTCATTTTGAATACCAATTTATCGCGAGTTTAGTAGTGTAAATAATGTGTCAATTAAAAAAAATTAAAATACGATATGGAAATAATTGCACATTAAAAATCGTTCGCAAACAAAATTAAATTCAAATGTTCAAAATGTAAATTTTTCAACTGCAAATTGCAGTAACGTTTAAGTGTCTCTTTTTATCGCAACAAAATCGTGTTTTCTTATCAGACGCAAATATCCACAAACATGCAATAAGTGTGTCGGAAATTTAGCAAAAAAACTAAAGGTATTTTATTTATCTGTTGCAGCTGCACAAAATCTCCTTACTCGTTGTTACAATGTTCACAGTTTATTTTCTTTGTTTTTTAACAATTGTATTAAATTAGCGAGACCAAGCGCGTTAGCAAAAGAGTCGGAAAAGCGTATGCGGTTATAGCCACGTTAACAATCGCGTTGAGCTGCTGTGGAACCGCTTTCCATGCGCTACGTTTTACCAATGAAACTGAAACCGGCAACGAGGCAACTGCAAAAGCCGCAAACCCACAAAATCACACAAAAAAAAACTTTTCGTCGTCGTTGTCGGTTGTCATCGTTAGATTCGTATGTGTGTGTGTGTGTGTGTCTGTGTGTGTCAGTGTGTGTGTGTGAGGGTGTGTGGGTGTGTTGACGAGTCTATTTTTCACCCTTGCAGCATATTTCCCTTGACTCGCCCTGTTACTGTATGCGGCTGTGAATGATGAACTCTGTTTGCTTATCATCGGGGTAATCCTTATCCCAGCGCGCACTGATAGTCAATACGTTTTATATATATATGTATATAATATATATATGAATATGGAGATAATCATGTTGATTATGTTTTGTCTCGCTCACTGAGAGCCATGATTTCATCTCGAAACATGATCTCATCCCGTTCTGCACTTACTACTTGACATATGTGCATCCGTTCAACGCACGCTGCAAGTGGGTAAATAGACAAATCAAAACGTTTATTTTGAAATAGAGTACACAGAAATAAAAGGAAAAATACATCGATTTTTTAACTAGGCATAAAACTCCAAAAAATTCATTTCATCTAACAATAATAATATCTTAAATCATGCCGATTTTAACTGATAAAGAGCACTTTTACCAAGTCTTCTTACGAGCTTAAGAAAATATAGACTTAAAATACTACCGACTCTGAAACGAAAGTTTTTCAGTACGAACTACATGATTTTTTTCTGTGTAAATTGGGCAAGGGTTGCTTATCTCTGTGGCTTTCATTATGTGGGCAAACATTCATAGATGAAATTACCCGCGGGTCGCGCTTGGATAAAGATTAAGATTAACCACTAACCTTATCATAAATGAAAAACCCCTTAGAAGACCTAATTTATGGAATTTCGAAATCAAAAAGAAAAACGTTTTGCCAAAGTTTATCAGAAGTTACGTTTTGAAATTAAGATTGCATGAGAAAATCGAAATCTATTCCAAGCGACTTCCAACTAATATTAGAGTATTGATCTAGTTGCCAGACCATGATCAAATTTAGCTATTTAGTATTCAGAAGTGGTTTAGTTTGGCATTTTGTTGATGAGGTTCATATTAAATCCAGCTATTTGATTATTTCTACATAGTTTATTGAGTCTCCGATCGAGATTAAAGGTACATGTGTAATATTAACTGGCTGTATAACAAAGACTCACCAACAAAAGCTCGCATCCAGTTGAGGATAGGATAGTAACATATTGTCAACTTGATTTGAGCTTGTGTTAGTGTCCATTTTTTAGGATATGAGCAGAGACACTCCGAATCTTAAGGATATATTATCTTTGGAGAGTCGAAGCTAATTTTTCTTTCGTTTTTTTTCTTTTTGTATGTTATTATATAGGGTATTCAACTGCGATGTTAACTAGCAGGTGCAGGCCGGACAGATGGGCTTGTCTCCCTCGATGGTGAATGTTTTCGTGGTAATTGGATTCTCGCAACGATTGCAGCAGAAACAATCCGAATGCCATTTGGCATTCATGGCGACGATGGCGTTTTCGGTTATGGGCTTCTCGCACTTGGCGCAACGCACCGCGAACATATCCTCGTAGTCCTGCTTGCAATAGGCCTTGCCGTCTCGCTCAAAGAAAGCGCAATCCTTCAAGGGCTGCTTGCAGGCGCCATCGCAAACGAAACAATTCTCATGCCAATTGGTGCCCATGGCGCGAATGGTCCTATCGAGAATTGGCTCCTTGCAGGCGGCACAGGTGCTCGTGTAGCGTTCCAAAAAGCATTCGCTGCACACAGGCTCCCCCTCCTGAATATTGAAAATATCATCCTTAATCTGCTTGTCACAGTCACGGCAGAGAAAATGCTCCGGATGCCATCTCTTGCCAAGTGCGCAGACAACACGCTTTGTAATCATCTCCTTGCACTTGTGGCACTGATAGTGCTCCTGCTCTTCCACAGCCTTGTCGTTACTCTTGGACTCCATTCTGTGTGTGTTAGCTAAATTGTACTCATCGCACCAACATTCAAATCAACAAAACTCACATTGCACGTGACTAAACAATTGGTGTGTGTATTATTAGTTTATCGTAATTTTGATTTTTCTTTTTTCAATACACAAACATATATTTTGGATTTCGGGAAATAAAAACGGAACAAATACGAGAACGTGTTAATTTTGTGCGACTCAAAAACGAAATGAATTGGATAGGCATGTACGACCATAGAGCTGCTTAACAAATATTCAAAGGCTGCTAAGACTGCCATAAATTTGTTCTACAATTGTATCACACTTGTTATGCAAAGCTTGCTTGTTTTATTGAAACTAAGGTTCGGCATTTATTCAAAGTAATTGAAAGAGAGAATAGATGGATGGCTGTCAATTTGTGTAGCTAAAGATTCTTAATAATCGCATAAAATTCAAAACCTGAAACGCCACAACTGAAAATCGTTAAGCACACTTGAAAATAAACTTCTTTTTTATGCATATTATTACATTGTACATCGTTTTAAATACATATATATAACCTTTTGTATGTTTTCTCTGTGACCGAGAGTCCTAACCTAATTGCATTTGTTGCAACTGACAGCCGGAGGCTATCGATCCGATGACTACCCAACTAAATCAGCAGGGACTGCAGCTCATTCCGTTCCAGCATTGCCCAAATGCTCTCAATCAATGCATTGCTTTGCCAAACTGAATGTCAATTTATAGAAAAAAGTGTTGCATAAATGTCTTGCTTCGTTCAACAGCTGCTTACAGAAATTCCCAAATGGTTCTAGCTTCCAGCTTGCTAACATGCGCCATTAAGTCTTACGATTAAGGCATTCTACGGAATCATTATTTTTTTTTTACTCTTTGTTGATATACGTTTTCGTAATTGGTAATTTTCACAATGTAGCAACAAATAAAGGATCTGAAACTGCTTCAAGGTTCGCAACCATGTTTTCACTGGCAGGACTTCCAGTCAACTTCCACTCATCTCCTCAAACTTGATGGTGCTGAACAAAGCCGTTCCATCACAGATGTAGCCACCCAGAAGCATCCAGTGCTCACTTGATAAGCCGCGACACAGTTTACTGATACTGGAACACTCAAAAGTAGTTGGTTTGCATAGTGATCTTGCGGCCAAGAATAACCATTTTGGTTACCCGTCCCTTGGGCCATGAATGAACCGCATTCGATAGACACACACACAAATTTCTTTTTAATAATTTATAACCACAAGTTTCCGAGAAAAAAAACCAACCAAGCAACCAAAATTAGTCACACAAAGAAGCATTAATAATTTGGCCAGAAAGGAAATGAAAAGCCACCACATCATTTTTGAAAACCAACCCCTCAAAAGATGGCATCTACCCAGAACTCTAAATGCTTACAGCTAAGTTTTGTGCAATTAATACAAAATGCTTTTCATACTAAAAATATTTAATTAAAGCAAAATACTTGGCGCTTTCCGCCTGCACAGCAATTAACAAACGGCACACACACACACAAGCGTGGTCCAGGAGAGTCCAAGTTGCAACACCCCCATCCTCCTCCACTTGTTTCACCCCTTGTCAATGCAGCATAGTATGTGCCACACATATATTTTAACCCTGCAATCATAAGAAGTAGCTGGAAAGGCTATGATGAAATTACGAACATAGTTTTAATAGTCAGGGGCAGAAACCTCCGACCCAATTAGACAAATGTATTCCTGAGCAGATATTAACTGTATCATTAGGTAAATCCACCTATTTATTTTATTTTTCCACACTTTTTAAAAAACGATTACTTTTAATGTGATTTGAAATCTATATGAATACTCAATTTTAATAAATAAATAGAAAAAAATCAGATTTTATTCCCAATTCTTGTATAAACTCAAATATTTTTGGACTAGTATAGGGTATCTGCAAGTCGTACACAATCATCTATAGTGATATTATTATTATTGTTAGTTTGTTGTTGGCTTGGACGCCACGTAGCCATTCAGGCTGGCATTGTTTTTGGGGCAGGGGCACTCATAACGCCATCGCGATGTGGGATTGCTCCACTGTACATGTCACCATTTCATTTGCTGCTGCTGCTGCTGCTGCTTCCGCTGCTGCAAGGAATTCTAAATTGTCCAAAGAGGATGAGGTGGAGTTGGGATGGGGATTGCCATTTGGACGGGTCGCTTGAGAGCTTGTTGCGCAAGTTGAAAGGGAATTTGTGTCAGGCTCTTTGGCGACGTGTCTGCGTATGCAGAAGTGCGTGAGTGCGAATCGCAGGAGTTGAAGGGGAGCCAAAGGATACCAGTTGCATAATTATATACTCAAATTGTTTTATTGAAAAGCATTTCATTTAAACATGTGAGCAATGCACGCCATAATTGCTGCTTCTCTTTTTCTAATTGCATGCACACGTTTCTGGGACAAGTTCAAAGAATCCATTGGGAACAAGTGTTTTACTTTTTGAGAGCCTTTACCTCTTATTACAGTTAAATGGCATAGAAAAAGTTGTATTTTTTGAGGTTAATGCTGCGTTCTGTTGGAGTCCATAAATCTAAACAAAGCGTGTAGAGATATTATTTATGGGAATGGGGCAAACTCAGGGGGAGTAGGATGGAGCATAGGGGTGCAGGTGGCTCCTACATCTCAAATTACAGTTTACAGTTTTATTATAATACATAAAATGTGGTTTAGATTGGCCAGCAAAGCATCTTCATCAGACTATTGTATAGCATCCATATTGTCTTCATTTATAGTGGTTCGTATCTGCAAGGATATTTAATATGCGACATGCCGTTCTTCCAGCCATTTCAACCTATTCCACAAACACAAAAATCCAGACAAAAAGTGAACCAATCTCATGTCAAAGGCCTTTGGTTTCAACTACAGTAAAACTGGAGCTGGCTGCCAGAGTCAGTCGTCAATTAGTCGGTAAGTATTTACGGCCGCCAATTGGGGATTTATATTAATTATGCAATAAGGGTTAAGCGGTCGTCCTGGGACACAGCTCACTAGACACAGGATACACAGCGAGCACATTGAACTTTGCCAGTCCAATGTAATCGAATTGAGCCAGTGGAGAAGTTGGTCAAACAGCAGTTTAAATTTAAATTGAAATCAGTGTCAGAAGCGTGAAAATTTAATTTAAAAATATACAAATAAATTAAAATAGTCCGAATATATATATATATATATATACAACTTAGATTGATAATTAACTAATTATGTTTAGTAGCGACGCTTGTCCTTGTTGCTGGGCTTCTTCGAGGAGATGAGAGTGCGACGTTTCAAACGCTTCACTTTGGTCTTCTCACGCTTCCGCAGCTTCTCCTGGGCCATCTCGATAATGGTGTCGCGCAACTGTAATCTGTAGCTCAAGAGATTGGAACGCTCAATGCCCAGGACATCATTCTCATCGTGTGGTACTCGATTCTCTGCATCATCCTCATCATCGGTTAGCATGGCCAATTGGCTTGCTGCCCAAGCAGCATCTCCAGTTAGCTGTTGTTCTTGTTGTTGTTGACCCTGCTGCTGCTGCTGTTGCTCTCTTTCTTGTTGCTGCTTGAGCAGCTCCTCGGTTAGAAGCAGCTTGGATGTGGCCCATTTGATCACTTGATGTTGCTTAAGGCTTATTTGCTGGCGATATTGAAATAATTGTACGCCCAAATTTGTCTTGGGAAATGAATCCGTCTCCTGCTCCGACTCGCAAGATTCCGTCGCTGGCAGAGGATTCACCACGGCCACTGGTTTCTCGCTGCCCACGTTGCTCTCAATTGAATTACCCATTTCGCGTCCAAATGCTCTAACGGCTCAATTCTCTATGACAGCTGCAAGTAATTTGCCACCGATATATATATGCGAGAAGGTTGTAAACTTTTTGGCAAGTACGCACAGGTAGGCATCGACTTACCTAAAAGGGGTTAGTTATTATCAGCTACCCCCTTTGTTGTGCACACCTGGGCTGGATTACCTCACACTTACATAAGCTCTAAGCAAGGATCTGGAAAAGCAACCATTTATTGTTACTTCTTGGGTATCTTATAGCCCGCCTTACCTGCCAATAAGTTTTAATAAAGTTTTGCCATCAGTCTGCTGCTTGCCCTTGGTATACCTGCTTATCGAATGAGTTCAGATTCAAAATATTAATTTTTTTCATAAATTGTACTCAAAATCACGATGCTTCAATGCAAACTGTCCCCTGCCCATACCTGGCTACACCCATGTGCATCGGTTCTTTTTACCAACACTACTTTGACTTTATCACAAAATGCCGCAGAAAAAGATTAATTATTGTGTTGGATTTCGCTCTTTAGATATTCTACAATGGCTAACAAATTTCAATTGCCTTCCAGGCTAAATATTGTCGTGAATCATTTTATTAGAAATTAAGACTTGTAGCTGGTGTAAGATGTAATCAAAATTTGCATTCAGCAAATTTGTATAAACTTGTAAAAGTTGTAATAGAATTAAATACCAGCACCAGAAAGACTGGATATGAAAACAACTGATGTGAAAATCAAATAGAGTTCATCTACAACATTCAATAAAAAGTTAATACTGGCAATGCACAGGCCGAAGAGCGTCTCAAAAATCCGCATATAACTATAAGATAAAAGTCTTGTTGTTATTTCGAAATTTCACAGTTTGTTTGAGTTGGATAACTAGATGTTATTTTTTCGGTTTACAATAATATTCGAAAATTAATCAAATTATATATTATATATCGTTTTCCAGGTAACCTATACTACCAATCGCTGTTTCAATAATTTATACCAAAAGGTATCTAAATTACAAAAAAAATTGAATAAGAATTGGGTTTCTCTCGTCGACTGCCAAAGTTGATACAAGCGTTTGATTAACAGCAAAATTGTATCCATTTTTCCAGCCATTTTGAAATCATTTGCGTGTACTTTCCAAAATTGAAGATCATTAAAAATGATCAAAAAAGGTTTCGCCCATCCACATATTTGGGAAAACTTAAGTGAAATCCAATCAGTTGGTCAGGCACTCCCCACAAACAGTTTTATACACAGGTACTATATACGATTTTGAGTACCTAGGTAAGCTGCAAGTTGAGTCACGTAAGCAAGTTGGCAGGCCAATTGACCGACTCCTTACCTGGCTGCTATATAAGCTAGTTAACTCTGGCAAAGAGTCAGCATTCGCATTTGGAAATGGACAACGACAACAGCAACAAGAACAAGTCGCAGCTGTTGATGTTCCGCACCCCGTTGGACGCACAGAGTCAACTTTTCATCTTCAATTCACCGATCGAATATGCGGATCAGCAGCTGATTGTGTATCAATATCCTGGCATGCCGAATGGCGAAAGTGGCTATTGTGTTGTCTACAAACGGGATCATTACATCATCAATAATCCACCAAATTATCTGAGTCCCACAAAGCGCAGTTTCCTCAACGAGTGCATACGACAATTGTATCTGATTAATGGCCTCGCCCACAAACTGCACTGGGCTCCAAGTGCAACGTTGAGCAATCGCCTGGAGCTGTGGCAACAGGTGGACATTTGCCTGAAGCCAGAGCGAGTCTGTCCGAAAGATGCCAGTCTGCAGCGAGTGAAGCGACAACTGTTCCGTGAATCCCAACGGCTGCGCAAAACTAAACCCCGTGTCCGTGGCCAGCTGTGGGGCACACAGGTGTTTAACTTTCGGCATATGCGTCAGAAGATTGGACGCCAGCACATACGTCGTGGGTATTTGGGTGTGGCAAGGAAAATGGTGATCGAACAACTAATTCGAGAAAATATCAGACGTGAAATAATCGAAACGCCATCGGTATGCCAGAACGTCATCAGTGCTGCTGACGGCATCTTCAATGTCAATGCCAGTTTAATCAATGAGATATGTAGCTATCATCGCAACGGGTCACGTCATCAGCCGGCGGTGGAGAGTCGCCTCAGTGCTGCCGAGCTGAGATTGCGGAATAACGAGGCATGTCGCCTGACGCAGCGTGCCAAGCGCCTGGAGGCCATGTTCATCCATGAGCAGGTGCGTCGCGCTGCCCAGAATCATCAGCTCATACTGGAGGAGTCGGTGCGTTCCATCTTCTATGCCAAGGAGCTGTTTCGCCTAGTCGAGGATCACGAGGAATTTGTCTACACGGACAATCAAATTCTGGAGCGTGGATGTTGTTAGGTTTTCACTGTTTTATTTAGTCTCCACAATGCACATGTAAAAATATATATATATTTTTAGACATACATTCCATTTTTTTTGTATTGTAAGTAATTTTATTATAAAAATAAAAATGCATAATATGAAAATTATTTGTAACTGATATTTTCTCCTTGAGTTCGAAACAAAATAAGACGTGCCACATTTAGCACTAGGGTTGATTGACCATTTGCTGCTCTATCAGTTTGGAGTGCACATCCATGAGGCTCTGCAATGGTAGAAAAATATTTGTTTTAGATATTCTTAATAGAAGAAATACTTAATTTTATCAATTGCCTAATGCAATCTTAAGAATTCAGTAATAGTTCTCCTTATCTTCTGGCTCTGCGAACAATTCTTTCAGTTTAACAATCTATATGCTTAAGATGTGCAAAATGTATAATTTATCAATATTTGTTTATACTATTTTTATCCATAATATATTGCGAATTTATTGAGTTGACTGAAATATTTGTCAAAATGAAATATATGTGTATATTTAAGAATTCTTGAGTCATTAAGTTGAGATCTTCAACACATCAAAAAGTTCTTCTATCAAGATTTCTTGACTTAATGGTCTTTGTTGGCTCACGTTTCATTTTTTTTTTTTTTTTTTATAATCTTATAAGGTTTTATATTAAATATTTTTGGTCTTCATCAGCTTATATGCATATTCTTAACAAAATAAGTATATTTAAAGCTCTTCGTCGTGTTACACTTTCTGATTTCTCGGATTTAATTTACATAATATATTCTGTGTTTATATATATGATAGACCCATATACACCATCGATATACGTATGCATATTGAGGTATTCACATTTTATAATAATTTTTCATATTGCTTCTATTTATTTGGGTGAACCAGCTGTAAATATGTTTTAGATTTGCTAACATATGTTTATCAACTTACAATTATAATCAATTCAGAAGAGAATTTGTTGCAAATGATAAGTGCTCAATTGAACCGCTGAATATTGCGATTACTGACGCCTATATTTAGTAAGTGGGACACCACAAAGTCAGATTGTATACACAATCATTTAAAAAACAAAATCTCTTTGTCTCTCCCTTAATATAAATAAGAGTTTTCATTATTCTACATTACATTTGAGGTTTGTGTAATCTTCCTGGGATGCGGCTGCATTTTTCGTATCTCTGAGTATGCCCTGTAATATTAGCAAAGTTGATGCCAATCAGGCTTTAGCAAGCTTTAACTATAGTCATAAAACGAAGCCGGTAAGTAAACAGTAGATAATGGGTTAGCATGCAGAGTAGTTATAGCACCTCCAGTTAAAAGCAGCACAAAATATTGTCCATATCAAGATAAATGTACATAATTCAAAACAGCTCAACTCTACCCGAAGAAAACCAACACCTTAACTAGCTAAAGCTTTAAAACTGTTCCAAATCCAAAACCAGAATTGAACTATAATTGCAGTTGCCTCGAGCATACCTTGAAATATTTAACCGTCTTGACGCGCAGCTCCAGCGTTGCATCCTCATCGCAGATCATCAGCGTGTTCGCGTGCTGCTGGAATGCGCTGACAGTCCACATATGATTGACGCCCTCCTCAATGGCCTTGTACAAGGCGAAGGACTTGTGGGCGCCCGTAATCAAGATCATCACCTCATGCGAGTCCATAACGGTACCCACGCCCACAGTGAGCGCCTGCTTGGGCACCTTGCTCATATCATTCTCAAAGAAACGGGCATTCGCTTCAAGTGTGTCCTGGGCCAGGGTCTTGACACGCGTTCGCGACACCAACGATGAGCCAGGCTCATTGAATGCAATATGTCCATCGGGTCCAATGCCACCAATGAAGAGTTCTACGCCACCGGCTTCCCTAATCTGTTGTTCGAACGCATTGCACTCGGCAACGAGATCGGGCGCATTACCATCCAAAATGTGAACATTCGCCGGATCGATGTCAATGTGCTTGAAGAAATTGTGCCACATAAAGTGGTGATAGCTCTCGGGATGATCGCGAGGCAAACCTGGCAAGAAATGCATTTGTTATTTTAATCGCACGAGTGGGGAAAATAAACACTGAATACTTACCCACATACTCGTCCATGTTGAAGGTCCGCACATAGCGAAAGGAGACCTTGCCCTGCTTGTGAAACTCAATCAGCTCCTTGTACATACCCAATGGTGTGCTACCCGTGGGCAGACCCAGTACAAAATATCTGGCAAATATATATTGAGAAATTTATCGATTATACTTTTCATAAGCGTAAACTAAATGGTCATTACTTATCGGGACCCGGTTTGAAGTCATTGATCCGCTTGGCTACATATTTGGCGGCCCATTTGCCAACTGAGTCACTTGATTCCAAGATTATAAGTCTCATTTTTCAGGGACTGTGAATTGTTAAAAAAATGCATTCCCGATAAGATTAGATTAGATATCAATTTACTGCATATTTAAACAAGAGCATTTTTATCTCGCAATTGATACGCTGCCCATTGTTTTGGGCCTGCTTACAGTACACACTCCATATAGCGATTGAAATACTTTTTAAAAGTACATACGTTATTTTTAACACATTTAAATTCTACTCAATAATCGATACTTAATACTATCGAGAATAATTCTTTGCGATAATTCACCATTTGAAAACATTTGGTCAAGCAAACAAACTGCTTTCAACAGCTTCGAGTGTGTGAGAAAGAGAACGACACATGAAGGACACTAGATGGTCGTCAAGTTGCTCACCTGTAACAATGTCAACGAATGTTGTTTTTGTTTTCTTTCTTTTTTGCAATGTTCAATAACAATAACAAAGGCAATCGAGGCTGGCTTTGCGACAACACACCGTGCGGTTGGCGTTAAGCAAACTTGGAGACTAACAGCAAGCTACGATTGCCGTTCCAATTTAGCTGTCAATTTATACAGAATATAACAGATATATTTATATGTGTGTATATAACGAGCCCGATTAGCTCTTGTTATGCGGCGCTCTGAGCGATAAAGAGAACAACTTAATCGTTGTATTTACGTAGAAATGAGACCTTGAGATACTTTTTTGTCCGGTGTTATCGCAGCATTTGCAAGGCGTAAAATTCGGCCGGCGAAATGCGTCTCTGCAAGTAGAAAGTAAGTACGCGGAGCACAAAGAGAACTGCTTAATATGCAGTAGCAATAGTTGAATGAACTTGAGCGCTGAGGGCATATGCTTTTGAGTGGGATTCGAGAGCTCTGGCGTTGCCAGATAGTGGCAGCAAAGCCAAAGAACATGAGTTGATTTCCAGGCATATGCATATACATACAATTCAAAAATAACTCAAAACAGAGCGTAAGCAACGAAGTGTATTGAATACCCTAATAAATGGCTTATTAGTTTGCGAACTAGAATTGGCGTAAATTTTTATGAAACATTTTTATTTATTTAGCAGTTACATATATATGCTTAAGATTACAATTTAATTTGTAGGTTTTTCTTATTTTTTATTTGTTGAATAGTTTGTCGTGGCCACACCCACGCATAAAATAAACGCCGCAAAACTTTCTTGGGTTGAAGTTTAAACCGGTTGAGCGCCCAAAAAGATATATATATATATATATGTATATAGATATTGAAAACAATCTAATATGAGCGCCAAACCGAGGGAGAGATTGCCTTCGAATTTTATTTGTTTTAAAAATATATATTATTGCTGGCTTTCTTTTCTTTTTATTTTCTCACATTGCCTTTTTATGCGTGTTTTGTCTCTTCTTGTTCTTTATATGTTAGATAGAAATTTGTATTTTTATTTGATCTGCGTGTAAAAAAAGATACTTATCTTACTATTATGTAGTCTGATTTTTTGTTGATATAGTTTTTGTTTTTATTAGTTATTTAACATGAGCTCTTGTCGTAATTTTAATGCTGCTTACAAAACTATATGTATATTTATGTCTATTTATTTATATATGGTTGAGGGGTGTTCTTTGCACAAAATGCATCGGAAATGCTGTAAAACTCAGCATTTGCAAAGATTTTGTAAAAAAAAAAGAGGAAGAGTTGAAAATTATTGTTTTCTTTTGTAAATTCTAAATGGTATATTCTATAGCCTGGAAGTAGTTGGGGATTGTTAACAAATATACCATATAAAGTCTACAAAACTACTGCTTATGAATACGTAAAGTATAGTTGAAGTGGGGGAGTAGTTTTTGAATTCGAAACACGTAACGTAAATTGAAATTTGTCATTTTTTTGTTGTTGTTATGGAGAAACACAAAACAGAAACTGAATTTTTAAACATGTGGAAGATTAATATTGAAGACATAAAGTTGTTCATGTAAACCTGCTGCTCTCTTGTTGCAGGGATATACAAAAAATGAATAAATTAATTGAACGTTTTTCTTATAAATGGGGTAAACTAAAATATATAAACTTAGCTGTCTAACGGGGTCTGTTATTGTTGTTGTTGTTGTATAAATTGTCTGTCTGGCTATGTGTGTGTGTGGTGTGGTGTGTGTTTAGTGTGTGTAATTGTTTTTTCTGTTAACTCATGGCAGCTGTTACATAATCGCGCACTTCTCGCCGGCCTGCTGGGGATCGCCGTGCTGATGATACAGTTGCTCGTGGCCATCAACGGCGCTGACGCTGCGACGACGACTGAGACGCGATGAGGATGAGGACGACACATGGGTGGACACAATACGCTTGATGCGCTCCAAATTGGCAACCGCTTCGCCATCGCTATTCAACAGAGCCGTCTTCGTATTGTCGCCTGTGATCCATTTCTGTTGCTTCATCACAATGTTGGATGGTGGCTCGTGGCTGGCCCGCGAATCCGATGACCAAACGGTAACCGTAGCATTCGGTTCGATTTTAACCGAACGATGGAACTTGTATGTGGTGACCGGTCCACCATCGTTGACGGAACGCTGCAGTTGCCAGCCACCGATGGCGATCTCATCGCTGCCCTTGTTGTACAGCTTGACGTATTTGCCCTCGGGATCGATCTCTTTGATTTCCACATTGCCCTTGGCACTGGCCGACACATAGAAATCGGACACACTTCGATCCTCCGATTCATCGACAACGGCTCGTTTGCGTTTTAGTCCGCCAGACGGAGTGCGACGCGAGGGCGTGGCACGTGAGCTGCGCAAGGATTGACTGAACGACTGCACCGTGGCCGAATTGGCGGGCGTTATATTCAAGCGCGCCTCCTCACCCACCAAAAGCTTGTCGTAGGCAGCGATTTCCAGATCCAAAGAGACCTACACGGAATTGAAAAGGTTTTTAATTTTAGATGATCTTGAAAATAAATATTTTCTATTTAGAACCAAACTTGGCAATCTTCAATTTAGATGTTATAGTATATAGTTTTAGGTATTCCGTCACCCACCTTGATGTCCATTAGATCCTGGTACTCCTGCAGCTGATGGGCCATCTCATCGCGCAAACGATGCAGCTCCTTCTCTAGCATGGCGATATCATTGCTATGGCGCTCACGCTCGTTGTCCAGCTGCTGTTCCAGCTCGCGGATGCGCACATTCAGCACAGCATTGGTCGACTCCAGATCGTTGATCTTGGCATTGAGGCCATCGATGCGTATGCGTGAATTGCGCAATTCCTCAATGGACTTGTGCGACGAGTTGCTAGTGCGCGACGCGGAATCCTGCAGCGAACGGATCTTGGCCTCGTAGAGGGCTTCGATGTCTTCGCGATTGTTGCGCATCTGTTCCTCGTATTGGCTGCGCAACTCGTGCAGCGATTGCTGCAACTTTGCCTCGTACTCCGACGAAAGACGTCCATCGATCTCGCTGTATTCAGTTTGCCGAATCCGACGCGATTCGTTGATCTCCTGCACATGAACCTGATCCTTGAGCGAGAGCTCCTCACGCAAACTCTGTATGCTATTCTCCAGATCCACACGCGCCAGTGTCTCCTGTTCGAGATTCTTGCGCGAATCCTCGAGCTGTTTGCGCAAACGATCCAAATCCTTAAGGGCCTCATTCAAATCATCATTGGCCTTCTTGCGATCAGAATTGGCCTGCGTATATTTGTTGCTCAGCTCATTTGCACGTGACTCATAGATTCGGGCATTGGCTACAGAGTGGCAGGAAATTAAGATTGATTAATGACTGATTAAGCAAAGTGAATTCAGAGTCACACTCACACTCTGCTGCACTGCATTCCTGGGTCTTTTTATCGAGACGCGCCGTCAGCTCCTCGTTCTCCTCCCACAGGCGCTTTGTGTCGATCTCGAGTCGGGCACGTTCGCGTGCCAACTCATCGAGCATGCGACGTGCATCGAGCAATTCATTCTCATAGATATTCTTAATGTTGGTCGTCTCTCTGGTCACAGTGTCCCGGGTCGTTTGCACCTCGATGCTGAGACGTGAGTTCTCCGTCTCCAGATTGCGTACACGATCGATATAGCAGGCCAGACGATCGTTCAGATTCTGCAGCTCCACCTTCTCCACGAGACGCGAATGACGTGTGGGGCTCAGTGGACTATTAGCTTGCTGCTGCGACTGCGACGACGATTGCGACTGCGACGGTTGGGGTCCGGTTGGCGGCAGCGGAGTGGAGGTGCTGCCGGGCTGCGGCGTCGCGGTGCCAGCTCGTCGAGATTTCGATGACATTTTTTCACTGCTGCAAAAAACGTATAAAAAATTATTCAAAACCTATATGAAATAGATAATAAAGTAATCGACTAGTAGATATCCTGCACACAGAATGCAAAGCTGCTGCTTTCTTTAACTTCCGGGTTTTTAGGTTAATGCATATACCTCATATATTTACAAATACAGGGTATATACACATAAAATACATAAACACACACTTTTAACTGACCTTATTAAAACGCTGTGTTTGCTCTTAGCTCGAGTTTATTTTTTGCGCGCAATCTTTCGCTTTTTGGGCCTGATAAAATTCCAAACAGAAGCAAGAAAAAAATAAGCATCAGAAAGAAGAAATAATAATAAAACTGCTCAAAATGCGTTCAGAGAAAGAGAGAGCGAGCGCAATTGAAAGCGAAACGAGTTTGTCTCGTCTACTGCTGCCTCTCTCTCTCTCTCTCTCACCGCCTAACATGTTACCCCAGTTGATTTTTTTCACTCAAGCCGACTGTACTAAAGCGAACGAACGAAAAATAAAATAAAAAAACAATTGAGTTACTTTAGCGGCGTTTTGTTTATGGGCGTAGGGTAAAATTAAGCGGGTGCGGCATTGAAATGCTTGTTAAATATATGAAATAAACACGCGCGCATTTGTTGTGAAAATGCATTCGGCTACTTGGCTGAAATGCAACGCCTCAATTTACACAATATGGCGTTTTTTATTCACAATTTGGTTTTTGACAGTCGCATTTTGTTGCAGCTGCAGGGGGGCTGCACGCGCAATGCCAAAATTCGAGAGGGAAACTCACTTGCACTTATATCACTAGCTTGCTCACAATAAACTATTTGAAAACGGTTTGGGGTATTTACAAACTTACGTGTTTAATCGTATTTTGATCGAATACTGCGCAAGTTTTTGTGCAACAAATTTTTATTACCGACAGAAAACGCGGCCGACGTATAGTTCTATTGGGTAGACTGACGCTCAAAGTATCGATATTTTCGCGTGACAATAGCAAATATCGATAATTCCTAAATGCAACCCTTCACGAAGTTGGTAAATTGAAATTAATTTATTCACTTAAATAAATAATATTTATCGTACTGCATAGTGCTATGCGAAATCTATGCTTTATAAATATTGAATTTTAATCATTTCCCTTTTTGTTAGCTGAATTTGTATATCGAATAGATACTGCGTTTATCGAAGAGCCGCCTCATTTTGGATAGTAGGAACTATACTTGCACTATCGACGTCACGTTCAGAGTCAGTCTTACTTCTCCAAACTCGCTAAAGAATAATAATAATTATTATTATTAGCGAAAAAACGAACGTGTGAACAGTAAGTGAAACTGCAAAACAAGCAAATAAGCATTTGATAGCGGGCATTAAATATAGTTTCGCAATATCTTGTAAAAAATTTGCTGGAATGATTCAATGTACTGAAAAAACAAGATGGCGGCGAGCATACGCCGGTTTGGCAAACGGAAAACGCGGCATTTACAACACACATATACAGACACATTGTAAATTACAAAAGCCATTTTTATTTCGCCCCCAGAATTTTGCAAACAGCCTTCCTAACGTAGATACGCACAAAGAGGAGTAAAGCAACCAAAAAAAAAAAAATATGGCTGATAATGACGATCTTCTCGACTACGAGGATGAGGAGCAGAACGAAACCACTGCCGTTGAGAGCCAGGAGGCACCAAAGAAGGACGTGAAGGGCACCTATGTCTCCATTCACAGTTCGGGCTTCCGTGACTTTTTGCTAAAACCAGAAATATTGCGTGCAATCGTTGACTGCGGCTTCGAGCATCCATCAGAAGGTATGTAGAAATTAGTCTGTGATCGACTCTGAGCTATACCAAGACTAGTGGGAATGGGTTGCTAATTTGAGTAGAGAAAAATATGTACAGTTGTGCATGCATATGGTAGTTATTTATTATTTACGCTCATCTGGCAACATTTGCAGTTCAGCACGAATGCATCCCGCAGGCTGTGCTCGGCATGGATATTCTCTGCCAGGCCAAATCCGGCATGGGCAAGACGGCTGTCTTTGTGCTCGCCACGCTGCAGCAATTGGAGCCGGCCGATAATAACACCTGTCACGTTCTGGTTATGTGCCACACCCGTGAGCTGGCATTCCAAATCAGCAAGGAGTACGAACGTTTCTCCAAATATATGCCCACAGTTAAGGTATGTATAGATAGCAATAATGGAGAAATTTATTTTATTAATTGCTGCTTATTGCTCTAGGTGGCTGTATTCTTTGGAGGTCTAGCGATTCAAAAGGATGAGGAGACACTTAAGAATGGCACACCGCATATTGTTGTTGGCACACCGGGACGCATTTTGGCATTGATACGCAATAAGAAGTTGAATCTGAAGCACTTGAAGCACTTTGTTCTCGATGAATGTGACAAGATGTTGGAGCAGCTGGGTAAGTTTTCATAATTAAACTAATATCTTTATACGTTGCTAATAATATATTTTATGTTTGTTAGATATGCGTCGCGATGTGCAGGAAATATTCCGTAGCACACCACACGGCAAACAAGTTATGATGTTTTCCGCCACTTTGAGCAAAGAGATTCGTCCCGTTTGCAAAAAGTTTATGCAAGATGTAAATATCTCCGTCGCACTTCTACTACTACTACTACTACTATTACGACCACTAGCTATAATAATTAAATACGAAAACGCGCACGCCATACAAAAAATCAACCTAAACAACACCACCAACAAACCACAATTGTTACATTTTCTGCCATTTACCTGAAAACGAAAAAAACCAGTCGAGAACACATATTGTTTTTGTAACTGATTTAAACGCGTTAACAGTAAACGATAACGACAATTGACCATTCCCCAAATGGTTAAATATTTATAACTATATAACTGCCATAAACCATTTTCTAAATGGTTAAACGCGTAAAAGCAAATCGAAGCAGGCGCTGCAAGCGCATAACAAATATCTGAAATCCTTGTCCATAACTATTGAAAACCATTTTCTAAATGGTTAAGCGCGACAAACTGCAAACGAAAACTCGCTCATTGCGTATAAAATGACTCAAAACTCTTGCCATAAATGCCAAAAGACCATTTTCTAAATGGTTAAACGCGTAAAACTGCAAAACGCAAAAAAAAAATACAAAATAACAACAGAATACAAAATGTAAATGCAATCAACAAAAATGAAAAACAAGTGAATGAACAGCAGTCACACACAATACGAACGATACTGAATACTGAATACCGATTCTGATACTGATGCGTCCCCGCAACATCTGATGTCCGCATGGAGCGCTTGCTACTTGCAACACATTCGAGATGCACAGCACAACAACAACAATAAAATACCGAGTAGTTGATGATGGTTATTTAGCGTGGCCGTATGTAGAATATTTTGTAGGCGTACCTATTTCATAAGTTCCAAATTGCCGATTTCTGTCAATCAATCTTAATTGTTTGTTTGTTTTTTTCCTTCAAAAATGTTGCACCATAAACCACATTTCCAATATTTCAATATAGCCCATGGAAGTGTATGTCGATGATGAGGCCAAACTGACGCTGCACGGCCTCCAGCAGCACTATGTCAATCTGAAGGAGAACGAGAAGAACAAGAAGCTCTTCGAACTGCTCGATGTGCTAGAGTTCAATCAAGTAATATCTTGAAATCGAATCCCAATGCTTTTTTTTTATTCATCTTTAATTTGTATTGTATTTAATAAGGTCGTCATTTTTGTCAAATCTGTGCAACGTTGCACCGCGTTGGCCCAGCTGCTGACAGAGCAAAATTTCCCGGCCATTGGCATTCATCGTGGCATGAATCAAGATGATCGTTTGAATCGCTATCAGCAATTCAAAGATTTCCAGAAACGTATTTTGGTGGCCACAAATCTGTTTGGCCGTGGCATGGATATTGAGCGTGTGAACATTGTGTTCAACTATGACATGCCCGAGGATTCGGACACTTATCTGCATCGGGTGGCGCGTGCCGGTCGCTTTGGTACCAAGGGTCTGGCCATCACCTTCGTGTCCGATGAGAACGATGCCAAGATACTTAACGAAGTACAGGATCGTTTCGATGTCAACATTAGCGAGCTGCCCGAGGAAATTGATCTGTCCACATATAGTAAGTTAGCCTCTGTTGCTTAATAATTTGATTACATAGTAATATTTGATCTTTTTGCAGTTGAGGGACGCTAGTCATCTATGTGGATAAGACAGCAATGCTACCAATTATATGAATGAATGATACCATTTTTTATAAACTTTACTTTATATCTAATAAAATACAATCCAAACAATGTGTTGACGTACAAACGCTAGTTATTTATATATCTGTCTCTTTATAATTTTGAATATATGCCTAGTACTAGAAAAGTACAACTTTTGAAGTGTTTTATTTTCATATATAATAAGAAATAATTGCGTGTCCAATTGTTATTTTGGCGTATTTTTGATGTCCGTTTTTTTTTTGTGGACATGCGCAAAACGTGTTGAGTTTCCGGCAGTGTAGGGTTACCAAAAGGGGCTGGTCCTTTGTTATGGGAGGGCGTTGGGGATGGTAGTTGGGGTAGTTGTACAAATAGCGAAAAGCAGAAGAAGCACAAACGACAATAGGCCAAAACAATGTGAATAGAGTCATTCAAGTTAACAAAAAACAAAAAAAAAAACAACAAAAATGCTGCTCAAAAAATATATGAAAACGCGTCGCAAGGTGAAGATTTTATTGCTGGTGACAATTGTCACTCTAATTGTGATCACCTGCATCATTTTACTCGGCTCCTCGGGCCAGAATGGAGCGACAGTTGAACGTTTGCTGGACGAGCGATTCATACAACGTGCCTATCAGCCACAATCCGAGCAGCAGCAGCAGCCAAAGGAGCAGGCGATGGTGTTGCAATCACATCGGGAACATGGCGTCATTGTGCCCGAGAAATATGATGAGCAAAAGATCAAGTCGCGCATCATTCAGAACCGACTGCAGCAGGTCAAACAGCAGCAGCAGCAGCAGCACGAGAATGCAGCGGAACAGATGCGCACCACAATGGAGGCAGTGGCAACGGCTGTGCACATCTTCTATACGGCACCGGTGCCGTGGTACAAGTCCAAGAAGCCACCACAGCCACAGCCGGAGCATCCCAATGATGTGGCACTGCCGCTAACAACGCCAAAACCCGTGAAGGTACTCAATACGGCCTTCTATCCGGCGCTGGGTCTGTACAAGCCCAGTGCCAAGCTGTTGGGTCAGCATTTCGAAAATATTCGCAGCTGTGGCATTGGTGTGCTCATCCTCAACTTTGTGCGGCCCTCGGATCCGGCGCTGTTGCATCAAATCATTGAGATGGCACCGCAACACAATCTGAGCGTCACCTTCGAACTCAGCGTCGCTGGCAATCGATCCGTGGAATTTGTGCATCAACAGCTCCAGGATATTGCAGGGTACATCGAACTGCCGGGCTTTTATCGGGTGTGGAGTCAATCTCGGGGAGCCCTATTGCCGGTGCTCTATGTCAGCAATGCATACAAGCTGAGCGAGAGTCTGGGCCGTCAGCTGTGCCGGCCACCAGAAGCACCAGCAGAAGAGCTGCCGGAGAAGCGAATTGGACATGGAGATATGGGCAGTTTGCGGCGTGTGCTGGATGCATTTTACATTGGGCACATCAGGTGAGGGTTGTAAGGAGTAATGTTGTTGTGGGTTAGATTTGAGGCAACTTTTCCTTCTGGCAATTTATAACTGCATCTATGGAGACTGTAAAGAGTCTAAATTGCATTTTTGAATGCCGTCAGGAGAGAGAATTATGTTTTTACTGAGCTTAAGCTGGACACTTTCTTTAAATGGCTTTTAATTGCCGTGTACAATTTAATATAATACTTTCTTTATTCGATAATATTGTTAAATCCTGCAAAATAAGACTTAGATTTTTACTCAGCTCAATTCATTCATTCGCATTTTCAAATCTTTATTTCGACAGACTCAAGAGCCATGCGGATGTTTTGCGTCGTTTGTGTTTTGATGGCTTCTACAGCAAATTGCCGAGCAATGGTGCCGTCTTTGCCAGCACCTGGAAGAATTGGTCATATCTCAAGTCCTATGCACTGTCCTATAAAATGCTGTTTGTGCCCACCGTGGGTCCCGGCTTTGCGGAGCGTAATAAATTTCCACGACACGGCGATATACAACGGCACAGAAGCAATGGGCGCGTAAGTAGAAGATAACATATATGTTTATTTAATATACACAATAAATAAATGGTTAATCTTATTTGTAGTACTATGGTGTGGCGTGGCGCACGGCCATTCTCAATCATGTGGGCTTTATAAATATTGCCAGCTACAACAATTGGCCCGATGGCAGTCAAATCGAGGAGGTTGCGCCACGTGCTGGTTTCCTTGATTACAATCCCGGCTCGAGGACCAAATATCTGGATCTAACGGCACATTGGGTGGGCAATTTTTTGAAGACACGCCAGGAGGCGGCGGGTGCTGCTGCCCAGAACTGTTATGAGCTGCTCAACAATACGATTTGTTGAAGCTGCAACATGCAATTCGTGATCTTTGAAGAACTCATATCGGGAAAAATCAATTTGTTGCCTTACCCATGTGGAGCAGTCCGTCAGTCGCCCTAAAGCTTCCATTTTGATGATGATTGTATTGATGTGGGGCAAAAGCGATGTGGATGCGAGTGCGTTTACTTTAAAAAAGCAATCAATTGCAATTTGCCACGAAATTACTTTCTTAATGTTAATAAGTCTTCTACAACTTAATATCTGCCTATATACTAGCAACCAGAACAATTATCTATGTATCTGCCAAACAAGAATAGAAAAGAAAAAAACTATGTAAAGTGCAAGCAATATTTAACTAGGTAAACATAATTAACCAAAACAAAGTCAGAACAAATGTTTTACATACTTTTTTTTGCATTCAATTAGTGTTAAATGTAGTAAGATGAACAACAATATCATAATGCCATTCCATATTATATACATATACACAAATATATATACATATATACATTATATATATATATAGAAAGATAGAGAGAGAGAGAGAGAGAGAAAATGTAGCATCAATTAATGAATTGTTAAAAATGCTATTATTAACACTTGTTAAACGAAAGGTACTTAACAAATTTTATCTTTATTACAAGTACACCTAAATAAATCAATATACATAAATATATTACTTTATCTAAGCTTTAATAGATTAACTAGTGCAAAACTAAAAATCAAATATATATATAAACATTCCATATTTATAAAACAAAATCAAAAAGCACAACAAACTGATGAGTTTCCTTCGCCCAAATGATAATTTGAAAGGACTTCCGCACACGCGCCTAACTGACAGTAATGAGTTTTTAATATGTATGTCCTAGTTGACAGTAATGAGTATTTTTTTGTGTACATCCTAAATGACAGTAATGAGTTTTTTATGTTCGACAATTTTAAACGGAACTATCAAATTTCCTACTGTTGCTTTTTTTATGTTTCATTTTGACAAATGACAGCCGCTTTCGAAACTGACTTATTTACAGCATTTTGTTGTTCGGAATTTCGACTCTGGACTAATAATGTTCAATAAGAGATCGATCAATAACTGTGTGCAGGAGCAAAAGGCAAAGCAGCCGGCGCCCAGAGGTTGCTGCTGCAAGCGTTCGCAATGCATCAAAAACTACTGCGATTGCTATCAATCCATGGCCGTCTGTTCCATTCACTGCAAGTGCATTGGTAAGTCCGGCATACATCATTACCCATAGCTACAAATCGCCAGTCTGCAGGTTGTCGCAACACGGAGCAGCGCATGGCGGTTACCACGCCGCCATTAAAAACAGCGATTGCCGCTAAAAGGGAACGCGCCGCTGCGCTCAGTGCCAAAGCAGCCGCTGCCGCTGCCAAGGCTGGCATTAATATCCATTTGCGTCCGGCACCCGGTTCCGCAGCATTTGAGGGCCAACAATTTGGAGCGTCGGCAATGCCGTCAGCAGCATCGTCACCGATTCTACAGGTTTTCGATATGGATGTGGGCAACATAATCACATTGCCGCCACCAAACACTATTGCACTGCCCAAGAAGCCGCAGGCAACGTTGTTGCCCAGCCCCAAGTCGATGCCGCCCAAAGAGATCAATATTATTAAGCCACCAATCACTGTGGCCCTGCTGGAGCGCATGTTGCTGCAGGCAACCGAAGCCACAGAGGTGGACATGAATCCCGTGCAAGGGGGCAAATTAGTATTGAAGGAGTTTGCGCGTGGTTTACGGGAGATAAGTGATATCTATTCTGTTGATGCAGAACAATAATCCATTTACAATTAAAAATATAGTCTCATTGATATAAACAGTGTTTAGTTTTAACTTATGTGAATTCAAATACAAAATAGGCTTCATTTTTGTTTCTCTTATAGAAATGATCAGTCAATACAGAAAAGTATATATATTTAAATATATAGGTAAATGTGAACATAATGCTCTTTAACTTATAAGTGCAGTGGTCACTGCTTCGGTATGATATATAATTTTAATCTAAGAAAAAAAAGCTTATTTAGATTTTACAATTTGAATTATGGACTAAGTCCAAGAATATATTATAGAATACTTTTTGCGTTAAAATATTTTGTGTACTGTAGACGGTTTTAATTAATCCTAACCCGCTAGAAGTCATGCGGTTGAAATATTAGCTCAGTGGCCAACACATCGTAGTTACTTCTGCGCTGCCCGCTGCTCGACGTTGTGGCTGTTGTTTTGTGCCGCTCCAGCGGCAGTTCATTATCAGTATCCGTATTGCTCTCCATGGATTCAATACCCGTATCGTTCTCTCCGTTGGGTCGTCGTCGTTTCCCTTTTGTCTTGGATTGTTTATATTTTTGCCAGAACTCCGCCGGTTGCGCAAAGTCCGTGTAGTTGGGGAAGCGCATAGTCATAGCACGGCAAAATTGATTGAACTCCTGTCTCATTTCCGAACTCATCACAGTACGCAGATTCCGATGGGTTTCTTCAACATAGCGCAAACAGCGCTCCAGTTGCTTCAGCTGTAGTTGTAGACAAACCAATTATTAAAACGTGTAAGAACAAAATGTTGGACATAGTCATACCGGTTCCTCAGCCGTTTCACGTCGACGAGCGCCACGTCCGCGACCCCTGCCTGTGGCAGTAGATGTAGTAGCTGGTTGCTGAACGGCCGGCACAGCTGGCGCCAGCTCCTCAACGATCGACTCTTCCTCATTTTCATCATCGGCTTGGTCGCCGCTCTGCTGACGTTTGTTCTTCGTGTAAAAGCAGATGCGACGCATTATGAAGAGTATATCCATAACAACATCCAGAGCACCATTTGATGTAATAAATTCCTTATCCTTTGTTTTCTCTGAAAAATATGTAAATTAGATGGTAACAGAGTACTAACCCGGCTCAACTTACCAGCCAGCAACTTGAGCTGACCAAAATACATAAGCAGCGTGTGATCATCCAGCGCGGCAATAATATGATTATATAGCAAACGTCTATTTTTGCGTTTCTCTGGACCCTGCAGCGGCGACTTGAATCTCGCAGAACCCTTGAGAAACGCCTGACCATTAAAGTGGAATGGATTTTCCTTGAGGCAGTGATGAAATAAGGACTTGTCATACAACTTCTTATAGCGTATGAAGAATTCATCTGCCTCATGTGCCACCTCCGCACTGTCGTCCAGCAGTCCCGAGAGGAGTGCGATTAAGATCGGACCCCTTAGCTTTATGATACCAGCCAGGATGACATCCTTGACACAGCGATAGGCGCGAACGCGAGTTGTGGGATATTTCGAGAACAGTTTGCTGAGAATGCATTTCATATTGTTTTCCAAAATGGTGGGATATTTCTTGCCGAGATCATTGAGACCGATCAGTGTGTTATTTATGAGTTGCGGTCTATCGTTTGTCCTCAATATTTGGCCATACAACTTGGCGACTCGATTGGCCAGCTTATGATCTCGCAGTGATAGACGACCCGCAGCTACAATCATCCAGTTCACGATGCGCTCATTATCCGTATCGAAATTGGACTCGTCCATTTCATTACACTTCTGTATGTAGTCGACACAATATTCAACTATTCTGGGATCTACATGGATCGGCAGCATGACTATCAATTCTGTATAAGTTGTCAGCAGCGATGTCAGTCGTATGTGATCCTCCTGGAAATGATCTATGCACGAATATAGGGCTTCGGTGACCTGCTGCAGGAGTTGACGTTTCCAACTGTCCGCATTACTGCTGTTTCGCGGTGCTTGACTCTGAGACAACTTGTCAATTTGACCCAGAAGCAGCAATGCTGGTGAGATGAGTGCTAACCAAATGCTGCCCGTGCTTAGCGCAGAGATCAGATGATTAAAGAGCTGATTGAGCGATGCTTTGGAGAAGTTTGAAAGACAGTAACTAATCAGTTGAAGCGCTAGCACTTGGTTTGACTTCATGTTAAACGACGACAGCCCATTGAATGTTGAAATGATGGCATCCAAGTTGTTCGTTATGCGACTTGATATCAGGAGAAGCAATGTCCACGCCTCCGTTGCCATCGGTGTGCACAAATGCGATATTATCGTATTCACCAGACGTGAACTAGGAAAAATAGATAAAATTTAAGTTGTTTTTATTGAATTGCAAAAAAAAAACTCACTTTACTAAATTCTCGGTCTGCAGCAGCAGGCTCAGTCTTTGCTGCAAATAATCGCGCGGCTGCGAACCCAACAGCGTGGTCAAAATACGCCAGGGCAGCAAATCTTTTGGTTGATTGGTAAACTCCAACGGTTTAATGGCCAATAAAACATTTCGATTGAAACTCTGTGGGGGGAAAAGTGTGTTTAGAGATTAACTTAAAAGCATAAGAGCAAAATAAATGAACACTTACATGCAGTGTAATTCTCTGAAGAGCCGTATCCTCATCGTTTAGCATACAGGGCCAGATGCGACAGTAGACATCTATGAGTATGGTGCAATTGAAATATTTGTGCATGAGAGTGTCGATCGATTCAAGTGCTGACTTGCGCACCGAGGACAGTATGTCGACGGCAAGTAGCGAAGTCTCCCGCTCAAAGTCTGTGTCGTAGATAATGCGCTGGTTGATGAGTACCAGACGCTCCAGCAGAGCGATGCCCGAGCAGCGTGCCAGGCCATTGCTGGAGCTGAGGAAGCGATCATAAATCACTTGCGGCATTTTGAGCACCAACGGTTCGAGTTCTTCGTGACCCTCGAAGCTAAAGGCGTATTTCAGGATGCCCTGTTTTTCTGCATTCAGCTCCAGTTGTCGGCCATTTGGAGCAGTTTCTGTCGCCATATCTTGGTCAGTGAATTGGACGAAACTGATGATCTCGTTGAGTATACGGCTTGTTATTGGTGAACCTTGTTTAATGGCCGAAATCAGCACCTGGCTAGCCTTGCGGCGTACGGTAAAAGTCCGATCATCAAGGCAGAGGATTGTCTCTCGGATGAGGTCAACTTCTCGTTGCTTTGTGGACACATCGTGTTGAAAGATTCTCCAATTCACCTGTGTCTCATTTTGCAGAATGCAATCGATAAGCTCTAGAGACCTCAACTGGATGCCTACAGCATCATCTGCTTTGACTGATTCAACTAGAAAATCCGTGCAGGACTTATTGCATTTAGCAAAGAGCGCTGCATCATATTTGGCAGCATATCCAATGGCAATTTTCTCATCCACCGTTTTCCACTGCAAAAATTAAAATTTTATTTAAGTTTATTAGTTTTAATAGGTAATTCATTTGACTAACCTCCTTAATGGGATTCGTAATGATGCACTCGATGTAACGCTCCAACACGCTCGCCATTATATCTGGATACTTCTCCAAGAGCTTAATGAACCAATCGGAAATGTGCTCCCCACTTTTGGGCCCCATTCCCTTTGTATTTTCCGGACAGATGTGCATGCACAGGGTTTGGTTCATAAATAGAGTCAATGTTTCATGTACATCGCCATTTTGCTCGTTGGCAATCTCATGGAACAATTCAAAGCATTTGTTATGAATTTGTTGAGCATCTGTAAATAGGTTTGATATGCAAATTCAAATTATCAACTGCTAAAACTAGTCGATAACAAAGCGTGTTATCGCACCGAGGGGATAGATAGACGATAGATGGTATGCAAGTGAGTGACTCGATAACATATGCGTTGATATGAGTCGATCCCCAGAAGGGCAATACGAACGATAACAACGAATAAAACTTGTGAAATTGAAACAGAAACTTTTCAGTATATTTTGCAGCACAAATGTTGATATTATTGTGCAAAAACTCTGGCGCTGCGGCGGCCACACAAGTGCGCAGTATTACTAAACGTTTGCTGGCCACAGCAGCAGCAGACAAAACAACAACGACAACAACAAAATCTTCACCGGCTGCGGAGCACTTTGATATAATTATTGGAGGCGGTGGCTTAGTGGGAACAACGTTGGCCGCTGCACTGGCCAAGAATGCAACACTGGCGGACAAGAAAGTGCTGCTGCTGGAGGGTGCTGGACCATTTAAGGGTTTCGATGTGAATGCACCCTATCAGAATCGTGTTTCGGCCATTAATCGCAACTCCATCGAGCTCTTCAAATCGATCGATGCCTGGCAGCACATTGAGGCTGCACGCTGTAAGCCCGTGAAGCAGATGCAGGTGTGGGAATCGAACAGCGATGCACTCATCCAATTCCAGCACGATAACTTTGCCAGCGATGTGGCGTGCATCATTGAAAACGATTTAATACTGGATGCGGTCTATGCACGCGTTCGCGACTCGGCGCCCAATGTGAAGGTGTTGAATCAGGCACGTATTGAGTGCGTAGGTCTGCCGGGTGCGGCAGGTGCACCTCATTCGCAGGTGAAGCTCCAGGATGGACGCAGCTACACCTGCGAACTGCTCATCGGAGCCGATGGCGCCAACTCTGTGGTGCGGAAAGAAATGGGCGTCGATGTTTTCTCGCTGAACTACGAGCGCATGGGATTGGTGGCCACCTTGGATCTGAACACGGAGGGGGATTGCGATAATTCGGTGGCGTGGCAACGTTTCTTGCCAAGTGGTCCGATTGCCTTGTTGCCGCTCAGCGACAAGCAGAGCTCATTGGTGTGGAGCACCACAGTGCCGCATGCCAAGCAACTGTTGGCCATGGAGCCGGCACAGTTTGTGGATGCCTTAAACGAGGCCTTTTGCCGACAATATCCACGTGTGGATGTCGTGGACAAGGCACTGCAGGCGCTGAACGCATTCTTTGGCAACAGTGGCGCCCAGCATCAGCGTCAGTATCCGCCACGAGTGTGCGGTGTACAGGAACGTTCCCGTGCTACCTTCCCGTTGGGCTTCCTGCATGCCTCGTCATATGTGTGCAATGGCGCTGCTTTGGTTGGAGATGCCGCTCATCGTGTCCATCCGTTGGCCGGACAAGGTGTCAATTTGGGCTTTGGTGATGTGCGCATTCTGGTGGACACTTTGGCTACCGGCGCGTATGCTGGCTTCAAACTGGGCGACACCCAGCATCTCATCAAATATGAACGCAAATGTTTGGCCAAAAATGTGCCAATAATGGTGGGTGTTCATGGCCTGCACACGTTGTATTCCACGGAATTTAGTCCGGTTGTGCTGATGCGCAGTCTTGGCCTGCAGCTCACCCAGAATTTTCCGCCCATCAAGAACTTGTTCATGAAGAGCGCCATGGGCTAAGCTTCCTTCTGAACTTTCTACGGGGTGTATTATTTTTAAGTGTTTACAGTTTTATAGTTGTCGCTAACAAATAAAATGCAAATGTGAAAAGCAATTCAAATAAGACGGGATTTACGGGCTGTTACTTTCTGAGTTAGAAGAAAGCTGTATATATATATATAAATAAATAAACGATTTTTTTCCTTTCTCGCATTTTTTATGTCCTCTTCCACTTCTAAAAATGTATAAGTTCCTTAAACTTGCAAGTTGTGCAAAGGAAACCTTTTTTTATTATTTTTTTTGCAACTGTTTATATTAACTATACAAATATTCTGTGAAATCTCTTGGATTTTAAATTGATTAAGAAACAACTCGAATTATTAAACAAAAACAGTAATCGACATATTTGCATAGTGTTATTTATTATAATAAATACACATATGAATTATCTCGTCCGATTTTTCATTATTAGTAATTGGTAGTTGTTGATATTTATTATGCAATTAGCTTAATTGTAGCGTTAGACAAGGCACATTTGGTACAGACTTTTAAAGACTTAGTTAGTTATATTCTATGAATTTGGCATTTTGGAAATTGTTGATTAGCTTTTAGAGCTCCTGATGGGTCTTGCTGATGCTCACTTGGGGCAAAGTGTTGCCATGGCTGCTCTCGCCCAACTTAAGATCCTGCTCCAGATCGAGAATATTCATTTCGTTCTCTTTGGCAAAGATTTGCTGACGATCGCTTTTCAACTGCGCCTCACCATCGAGAGTGACAACGACTTGTTGGGAATCCTCCGTATCGGATATATAACCCGAATCTCCCGTATAGTGGATGGGATAAAGCAGCATCGGTGCAGCACTAAATGCAATGAGATTACGCGGCTCAAAAGCGTCGCTGAGATTCTTTTGCGGATGCCGATTGAACATGACAGGCAGGAATTCATCGACTGGAATGAGTTTCTCCAGCGGCTTAGCCGCCAACAGTTTCTCAGCACCTGGCAGTGTTATAACATAGCCCAGCGTCCAATAGGAGTAGCCAACATGGACGAGATTATCGGTGCCCTCGACCCACGGTTCGCTCTCATCCTTCAAACGCTTGCGTCCAAAATAGATGAGGTCATAGTCGAATTTACTGGCTTGCTGGAGCACCCTTTGCACATTCCCTTTGAAGTAGGGCTCAAAGCGTACATCGTCCTCCAGGATGAGCACTTGGCGCAGCTGACGCTGCACAATCTGCTGCCAGATACGATAATGACTGAGAAAGCAACCGATTTCACCCATTGTCATGGGTCGATGATGATACGGATCCTCATACCCGGGCAGAAAACTAATGCCCATTTCCTGGACAAGCTGTGCATTTAGCTGCTTGCCATCAACGGCTTCGAAGTGCTCCACTTCCAGACCCAACTCATTGAACAGCTGCTCCATTTTCTCGCGCCTCTCCGGACGACGCTGCAGATTGATCATAAAGATATTATCGAAATCCAATTTGGTCTTCGCCGGCAACCGCAGATGATGCTGCAAATAATTCTGCACTGGCGGCACTGCGCCCAAATCATGCACCATATTAATCCGCAAATTGACCAACTGCTGCAGATCCTGTTCGACTGTATCAGTGGTTTCCAGTGGCTGTGTTATATAGCCGAAGGGCAGCTTGTTGCAGACGTGGAGCGCCACACCGGAACTATTCGCAGACATGGCAAACACAATGATATCATCTAGGGGACCGTCGTAAATACGCACTTCTGTCTTCAACTTCTTTTGCATTTCCACAAGACGCTGACGATCAAAGGTTAGGTAACGTGCACCCGCATAGTTCATATCGACCAGGACAGCAGTGTGTACCATGGGCACTTCAAAGACACCGACCTTAACACTGTGATAGATATCCTTGTATTCCGCAGTGCGTTGATAGTAATAATCATCAGTCATGCCACACCAGAAATTCGAATAGAGACTCTCCGACAGCAGCATGGGCGCCACAATTGGTAACCGGAGCGCTGTTAAAGTTCTGAGTGCCTGTGGCTCTGTCAACAGCACATCCGCATCCAAAAAGAATACATAGTCAGCCCAGATATTGCGTGCATATTCCAGCGCCTCCTCTTTCAGGGCAATCAAATGCTTGAAACGCGAAACGGGCCAGTCATAAGCTGAGGTTTCCTTTTGATAACTCGTTGTGTCATCATTAAATGCATAGTTGATGCTATGATAAAGTTTGCCCGAGTGCTGAAGCCACTGTTTCAACAATTGAATGGTGTCATCGCTGTTGTGATCGCAGCGTAACCTGAATAGATCAACAAATTTGCAAAACACAATCTCCCAATCTTCTTTTTTTTTATTCTTTTGTACTTTCCACTCACCAGAAGGCAATGCGTTTTTTGGGATAATCGAGCTTTTCGAGATAGCTCAAGAACATTGGCAATATGTGTGCTTTGTTGCGCACGAGCAGTGTTATGAGCACCGTTGGCTCTTCATACTTTAATTCATCATCCACATCTTCTACAGCCAATGCCCAAGCGGCGCTCATGGCGCAGACTAAGAGCAATCCTCGTACTATACGCATCTCCACGTCATGCCAAAACACATTGTACACAGTTCAAATGGGTCACGTACGCACTATCGACAACTACAACAACAACGGATGCTGCTGCTGCTGCTGGACAACTGTAGAGTGTCTCTCTCCAGCCTAATCTATTTATAAACGAACGGGATTCAGCGTTCATTGAACGAGAGTCATCATATGGTTTTAATCACTTCATGCTACTTGCAAACGATAACATATCGCTTTGAAAGTGTAACAGCTGTTCCAATTGCTGTTATCGTACTCAACTGCAACAGCAAGCGCAATCGCTCTTAAACTGTTCAATTGTCATTTGCACATGCAAGTCGAAGTTATCTGTAATCGGATTCAACTGTTGCAATTGCAGTTACTCAAAACCCCCGCGGTGTGGAATAAATTGAGTCTATAAATTAGCTAAAATTGGTATCATCTACTTCCTTATCTACTAAGCCGGTTATTGGCAAACCAGTTTAAGCTAAACTATAACAAAAGCGAGACCTACAACATAATTTGCTTAAAATTGTAGATTTAATAACAGTCGCTGTTTAAAAATATAAACAACTATTTATTAGAACAAAAATAGAGTATATATATATATATCTAAATATATAGATATATATGGAGGGGATTCCTATGCCTGCTTGGCTGTGTGGGGTTTCACATAACTGGGAAAGTTAAGTTGCAGACCCTCCTTGGCCTCAAAGAACGTGTAGGAGAGGGTGATGGTGTCACACAGCTCTAACGCCGGATCTTGGGTGATTTCGGGATCAATGTAGAAGAAGACGGGCATATCGACCTCCTCATGCGGATTAAGCATTTGCTCCTCGAAGCAAAAGCATTGGATTTTATTGAAATAGGCGCCCGCCTCAAATGGTATCACATTGTAGGTGCTAATGCCAACCACTGGTTTATCCGTGGGATTCTTGGCCGTGTAGAAGGCGAGTGCCGTCTCTCCGGGTGCGACTTTAATTTCAAACTGTTGCGGCTTGAAGTTCCAGCGCATCGATGAGCCAATGTCGGCATTGAAGCGTATTTTCAGCACACGATCCTTCACCTTGACCATGTGCTCCACCTTCTCTGCATCGTGGCCCTGCGAGGTGGTGCCTCCATAACTGTATGCCTGACAAAATATGCTATAGAGTGGCACTGCGGCATAGCTAAATCCTACAATCAGCACACCACCAGCAGTTATGTAGTAAAGTGTTGACTTTGATCGTAATTTGCGGTTCGCTGCGTCGGAATCGCCTCGATTGCCGCCCAATGTTGATTTTGGGCGACATGGCTGTAGTTTTAATTGCAACTGTTGTTTGTATTTGTGCCTAAGCAGCTGCTGGCACTGCACGCGCACTTTGGCAAAGGTGCGTAGCATTTAAAACTATTTGTTTCGATTTTAAAATTATTAATTTAATCGCGTTTTCATTTAATCAACTGTTTGTATAATCTTCACCCTTGCGTAAACAGCTGTTTGCTGAACAGTGTGTACACATGCCATTTGGCACCGGCTACGTGTTAAGTGGTTACATGTGGGCGCCAAATATATTTGAATCAGATTTTAAGCGTGTATTTCTATTCCTGTTAACCAATGCAAAGACAGCTTTTTCAGCTCTCTAAAAAGTTAGATTGCAGAAAATAATTGTAAACAGTGATTTGTGATATCTTACTACTCAGATAATGGTAGACTTAATAATCATTTAAAATATCTTAAATAGTCATAAGACGTTGCAGCTTAGCTTTTCAGCTTCTTTCAAAAGGTGGCAACGCTAACACCCTTAATTTAAATTGTCCGTTCGAAAATAATTTTAAAATGTAAAAGAAAATGGAATACTTACAGGAATTTGTGTAGCCTTGTTTAAAATTCATGTAGAGTATTTTCAGGAGGCTGCGTATTATGTTGTCCCGTGGCGTTAGATGATCCTTAAAGTGCACATAGCATAACACCAGTTTCAGATCATCGAAAATGGTCAGAAACAACATCCAAATATTGTTAGAGCGTATACTCGAATTGGCGTTCATCTCCAGCAGTCGAAAGACCCGTAAGCCATGCTCAATAACATCTGCGTCAAAGACGCCAAAGCTCTTTGCGCCCGGAATGGTTAGTGTTAGCAGATAAGTGCTAAATGCATTAATGGCCAATTTCACGTTCATGTTTTCATTGATGGCTTCGGGCGCCGCTTCGATTATTTGCTGTGGCAGTGTTGCCAGACTCGTCACTGCGTAAATGTACGCCAAATAATCTTTGGGAGTAATCACGTCGATTTTGGCCCAATTATCCAAACTGATGTCGTATATGTTTGTATTATTCTCAGCATCATTGCGCAAGGATCGGATGCAAGATGCTAGTTCACGCAACACTTGCAATTGATTGTCCTGATTTCTCACATTCTGTCCGCACATAGGCAGCATCCAGAATTTGTTGGCATCACATCGGATCACCTCGGGATTGTCGTCGTCGCAGCTTAGCCAGTCCTGAACATTTGTCCACTCAACATGTTGTGCAAAGTGCAACTTAAGCTCACAGAATATCCGATTAAACTCCAACATATTTGCATATTCACTAAATTCCTTGCCTGCGCAGTTTTTGTTTACAGTTGTAGAACTGAAGCAATATTAGTTATCGAGCGTAGTAATTGTTATCGGTTTCGATAGGAGTAAGAAGCAATGCACAGCTGTTGATTGCTTAAGCGCAGTATGCAGCACACAAAATATAAAAGTTTTTATATTAATGAAAATGTTAAGAATGCACAAAGCAAATAATTTACAATTACAATCAAAAATGAAATCAAACAGTGTCAAAAGCAACAGATATATTAAACAAGTATTTCAACTGCCGCAAAATATGTAAGCTTTTTTAATTGAGAGTTTTCATGTGCCTTTTTTGGCTGTCACCACCGTACTACGCTTTATTAACATCTGGATAAACTGCATCCAATTGTGTTTCTTGATACCCATAAACAATGGACGCTCTTAAGGAAGCGTCCCTGGACAATGAGGAAGTGCGAGAGATCTTAAAGAACACTACAGATTTACGTCAATATTCGAGGCAAATCGAGAAAGAGTTCAAGGATGTGGAGAACAAGTCGATTGAGGATTATATTGCCGAATCTCAAAACATTGCCAATCTGCACAATCAGATTAACGACTGTGACGATGTCCTCGAACGCATGGAGAACATGCTTATGAGCTTTCAGAGTGTGCTCAACAACATTAGCACCGAAATAACGCAACTGCAACGTAAATCCGTATCCATGTCACTGCAACTTACTAATCGACAGTCGGTCAAAGCACAGCTGTCTCAATTTATAGAGGACATGGCTGTATCCGAAGAGATGATAAACATTATTATGGATACGCCAGTAACAGAGCGTGATTTCAGCACCCAGCTGAATGTGTTGAATCACAAGTTATCGCTGGTCAAGGAACTGAGTTTCAAGGAATCCAAATCGACGAGCGATGTGAGCGATGTACTGCATAAGTTGCGCCTCAAAGCTATGTCCAAGATACGCAGCTATCTGCTGGAGCAGATCTACAAGTTTCGCAAACCGATGACCAACTATCAGATACCACAGAATGCCATGTTGAAGCACAAGTTTTTCTTTGAGTTCATATTGTCCAATGAGCGACATGTAGCGCAGGAGATCTGCAGCGAATACATCGATACCATGGGCAAAATCTACTACAGTTACTTTAAAGTGAGCTTTCGACTTGTCTATATACCAGTTTATTGACTTTTTATTGCTTCCAGAGCTACTCCACAAGGCTGACCACTCTCAAGTTTGAGGAATCCTGCACGAAGGATGATCTAATGGGCATAGAGGACAATGCATCCAAGGGTCTGTTTGCCAAAACGACGAGCCTGAAACATAAGAGCACAATCTTCACCATTGGCAAACGGGGCGACATACTCAATCAGCAGCTGGAGGCACCCATCATTGTGCCCCATGCGCAGATGAAGAATCGCGTAAGCTTTGATTAACTTTTGGAAGACTATTGATATTTGTAATGCTTTTTAATTGCTTTTGTAGAACACAGTCGAGGCTCTGTTTCGCTCGGAGCAATATGCGCTGGTTGACAATGCTTGTCGGGAGTATTTGTTTGTTACTGAATTCTTTATGGTGCGCAGTGCACAGGCACAGGATTTGTTTAATCAGATAATGGGCAAAACATTAACATTGATGATTGTAAGTAAAGCAGAGGGATCTGAGGCATCTAGATCTATGACATCTATCTGTATAACTTATTGATTTCTTTTCTTGTTTAGAAAAATCTGGAAACATCTATACATGATTGTTTCGATACCATCGCAATGTTCCTTTGCATACACTTAATCTTTCGCTATCAGCTCATGTGCCACAAGCGCTGTGTGCCTGCGCTGGATAAGTGAGTGTTTATTAAACATAAAATACAGTTTATATATAAAATATATTTAATTTTCTTTTAGATACTGGGACTCGCTGCAGTCGGTCATTTGGCCGCGACTCGAGCATGTATTTCGCCTAAACATTCAAAGCATACACGACTGCGATCCGTCCAAGTTCAACAAGGAAATGGGTCCACATTATGTAGGTTAACTTAAGAATTCTTTTATACCACATTTGTATATATGTATGTTTATATATTTTCCTTGCAGATAACGCGTCGTTATGCTGAGTTTAGTGCTGCCATTGTGGGCATCTCGGAGCATTTTCCAAATGAACTCGTTAGTCGACTGTTGCTGGAGCTGCAAAATGAGGTGGAGTGCTTCATCTTACGCATGGCAGCCAATTTTCCCACACGTAAGGATCAGCTCATCTATCTGATCAATAACTATGATCTCGTGCTGGGCGTGCTCATGGAGCACACGCGTGACAACTCCAAAGAGGCCGAGGCATTCCGTGAACAGTTGAATGCGAGGAGCGCCGAATATGTCGAGGAGATTCTGGCGCCGCATTTTGGAGGCATTATACAGTTTGTCAAAGAGTGCGAGCAATACTTTGACAAGGATCAGCCGGATGAGTTGAGGAAGCAGGAGCGACGCAGTCTCGGCCTAGTTGCCAGCTTCTCGGCGAATTGGAAGAAATCGCTGGAGGAATTGAATCGTGAAGTGCTGCTCTCGTTCCCATCGCTGTTGACGGGCTCCCAGCTACTGCAGTTGGCATTGGGCAGTCTAGTGCAATACTATCATCGTTTCCACAAGCTGCTGACACCCAATGCGCGTGCCCAACTCACCAACATCCATGTGGTCATGGTCGAAATCAAAAAGTACAAGAGCAACTACTGAGGGACAATTTAAAACTGCTCGCTTTTTAATATGTTAAACCAACACATTCCAAAATAAAATGTAAACTATGTTATAATATTGTGGGATTGGCACACGACTCCGACTCCACTAATCCTCATCCTCGAACATCATCTCGACCAGATCCTTGCTGGAGCAGCGTTCACCATCCAGACGCTGTGGCGACTTCCAACGCAACAGAGTTGGCAAGAAAACCAAATGAGTGTTGGGGTCTTTGCGGAACGGACAGTTCAAATCTTTCCAACTGCAAATATAAACAATATGTAATCAGTCAACATTCTTTCTGCTCCCCACATAAAGATAAAAACTGAGCAAAACTGGTTTCACTTGCTTTCGGTTTTGCTTAAATTTTTATCAAGAGTAAACAGGGCGTTACTGTAGTACATATTAAAATTATATATATATATTTATGTAAAGTGGCTAGAACAATAAGGGTTTAGCTTCTATTTTATATTACACACTTGTTGAGAAACGTCTCACGCTACAAGCTTATTTAATCATAGGCACACCTCGCAGATAATAATAATATACTGTTTTACTTTTTCATACGATTACAAACTTACTAGGAGCGCTCTCCAACATCGACGTGGACAAAGTGGGAATTCTCAGCGGCCTTTTTCAGTGCATCGTGAATCACCGGCTCCGCTGAGGGCGACACAAATTCATCATATAAATAAACACGCAACTCGAATGTAATTGAAAACTGCGTGTGGTTAACCACAAGAGATAGACTTGTTTTTATTACCCTTGACACAATAGGGGCACCAACTTTGGCCATTTTCATCCTTGCCGCCGCTAAAGAGAACATGCACCTGATTGTTGCCATCACCAGTTTCGAGTTCTTCCATTTTTTTGGCGAACTCCTCGTAGCCTTTGACGTTGTGTGTGATTACCATTGTTTTGCTGTGTTCTAATTTATTAGCAACGCCGGCGAATGTTCGCTTGACGAGACGACTAACTACCGCTGGTAACGACGTGATTGCGCACTTTCTACTAACTGCTGTAAAATGATTGCCGCACTTGTTCTTATATATATCGTTTACTTTTTATGTTGTTTTTATCAAGCAAAGACGCCGACTGCGATTGTTACTATCGATAAAAATAATGTGTTGACTAGCGATATGACTAGCTGCATGACGTCACTGTTGACAAACCAAATAGCAATATGTAAAGTGCATAGCTAAAATTATAATGAATAATATATAGATTATATTAATATATATATATTAATGTAAGATATGGTAGATCAACAAGCCCCCAAATTGAAGTGAAAAATTTAATTAGTGCCCAAAATTGTTGAAGCGTCTATCGATAGCAGCCACCACTACATTACGCGCATTATGTAAACTATCGCCAAGCAGCACATCACTAGTGTCATCAAAACAGATGATGAGCTTTGTATTAATTTGCAATATTACTTGATTAAAGACATGGCCCAATCCATCTTACTACGTAGTTTAATGCTGCACAGGCGGACAGTGCTGTTGCCATCAAACGGGGGGCGTCTGCGTTGCCTGGCAGCACTTCACCTGAGCGGTCGTGTTGGGCAGCAAATGAGAAGTGGTATTAAAATCCCAATTGCAGTTGCAAGTTTTGGTAATGTTTACAACATTTTTAGGTGGTGGCAAAGCATTGCAGGAGTCACAAGGCGGCGACAGCAATGTCTCCACGGATGTGCGACCCATTGGCGAGAAGATCAAGGAGAACACAAAAACGGCCAGCTATACGGCGATTATCCTTGCTGGCCTAGGAGTGACGGGCATCATGTTCTATGCCATATTCCGTGAGCTCTTCTCCAAGGAGAGTTCGTGCAATATCTATTCAAAGGCTTTGGCTCGTGTCGTCGATGATCCGCGGGTGCAGGACGCTATTGGTGCGCCCATCAAGGGCTTTGGCGAAACATCGCGACGCGGTCGCCGTCAGCATGTGGCGCACAGCAGCTTCGATCGCCATGGAGTGCCCCACATGCGTATGCAGTTCTATGTGCAGGGATTGCGCAACAAGGCCACCGTTCAACTGGAGTCGCGAAGGGTGCGTAGAACTATAACTACAGTCAAAGTTAATTTTAACTCATTTTTATTTCTTGTTTTGCAGGATTCGAATGGGAAGCAGCAATTTCGTTATCTATTTGTGCAATTGGATCACTATCCTCGTACCACAATTATACTCGAGGATAATCGCGCCTATGATCCAAAGCCAGCTTCATCAGCGTTGTCGCCTTCTTCGGCTGATTCCCCCTTTGGCAGTTTGGCGCTCATGTCGAATAATCGCGACAAATAGAAACCAGCTGCCCAATCCTCACTTAACAAAATCCTTTTTATAATTTTTGTTATTTAATTTAATGCATACGACTGATAAATATTTTTGTTTTGGTAATTGCTCGTTTCATTCGCCAATGGAGAAGTTGTCCATCTCCAGAATGGCGCCCGATTCGTGTCAGTAGAGCTTCTTCCACGGTATTATCTCCCACGATCTGATGATGTGCCGGCCAAATAGGAAATCCTTGAGCCTGTTCATCACATAGAACGAGATGCCAAAGAACGATGCGAAATACAACCAGAATTGACCCAAACGCTCCCAAATGCTCAAATGATAACGCGCTGCCACCTGCAGCACATCCACCTCCAGGTCGATGGTTAAACCTGATTCCAGGCGTGGTGCACGGCGCTTGTAATAGGTTTCCTGCACGGCCAGCTGAAAGTAGGCAGGATTCACTTTCACCTGGCCCAGCAAGGATTCCATTTGGTATTGCGAGATGTCCGCCAAAGTGTTATTGGTGTCCAGCTGCACAGGGCGAAAATGGGTGCGATGATTGCGACCTGGAAAGGGGCAAGTGAACTCCACATATTGCTTGAGCTTCAGCTCGCCTTTAAGCTGAATGCGTCCATTTTGGAGTCCTCCTCCTGCTGCTGTCGGCAATGGCAGCTGATGGGCGAGTAAGGCTGGAGGATTTAGTTGGCACTTGTGACTCAATTGTGCCTCGAAGAAGAGCAACAAATCAAAGTGACTCAGTGGCGATGGCAGCGGCAGCAGTTCCAGCTGAAAGTGCAGACGATCTGTGACTCGATCCTCATCCAAATCGTGTGTCCAATATTTGATTGCTTCGCAGTTTTGAGTGGAATTCCCCAGTCTCGCATTGAAATTGCCAAAACTGCTGCAGGCAATCAGCGTTGCATCCTCCGTGTGACCCACAAATATATACTGATAGCTAAACTGGACCTTGGGCTGTTCGAATAAAACCCTCGATTCGGATATGCCCGAATAGGGACTCAGCAAGGAGACCAATAAAATCGGCAACATAACCGACAATGCTATAAAAATCAACACCAGCAGCGAGGCCAGCGAACACAGCGAATTCTTGTATATGATGGCCGTATTGGTCGTATGCAATGGTATGAATTTCATTTTTAACCAATATTTGCTCGCTTGTTTTGTGCACTTTAAAATTATTTTTATGCACTTGTCAAAAATTTGTGTTGTGATTGAGTCTTGGTTGCTGGGCAACGGCCGACAGGTGGCGCTCCTTCAAATACCCGGTCAATAGCTGTCAGCTTGTGTCAGGCACACGCAGAACGTTCGTCAAGTGTGGAGCAAGCAAGCAATAAGAGGAAAGCCGTTTAGTTCAAAAATGTGTATTAACCAGTTTGATGCAATAAACTATGCCAAAATATTTTGGTAGCAAATTGGTTGGCTTTCGCTACTTGTGCTGCTTCTTCGCGTGCGCTTTCAACACTCTCTTAAAGTAAGCGCATTAAATTTTAAAGCTGCAACTTCCGATTTTTATGCGTTGCACATTAAAGCGCCTTAAAAAAAAAAAAACAAAAAAACAGCCCAAAACCAGTTGCTGATTTTAATTATGCGCAAATGTTGGTCAAGTTATGCGTTCCAATTTTTTTTTTATTATTTTTTCGCTCACTTTTCTCTTTTTTTCTGTTGGGCTGCTATAATTATGTGCAATCAATACTTTTGCTGTATCGGCTTATGCTTAAGCTCGTATAGATATATGTATATAGACGGCCGGAACAGGAGGATCAATTGAAGAGGACAGCAGACAACAGCTCAGTAATCAGTTAAATTGCTGCTAATAAAGCAATCTGCTTTTAACTGATTTTTAAGACGGATGCTTGCAGCGAGTTTTTTTTTCTCTTATTTTGTGCTTTTAGCTGCTATTGATTTCAGTTCAAGGGGAAACCTTTCTAAAAAGGTAACCATAAAAACTCTGTCTTATTAATATTAATATTACTATTCTGCATTAGTTGCTATAACGGCTTCATTTCCAATATGTCCTTTTGTCATTCATTTGTCAACTTCTTGAATAACTTTTATGTTACTTTGTGCTTTTTTACTTACTTCCTTTTTATTTTGTCGTGATGTGTCAGTTAATTTGGACATATATAAATATATATATATATATATGTGATGTGTTTGTCTTTGCCTTTGACTTTTGGTAGAGCTGATGGACATAGTCATGTCAAAAACTAAAGAAAAAGCAGTTAAGAAATATTTGATGCATAAATAAATAAATAAATAAATAAACCACATTTGACAGTTACTGCTGTGAGTTTGACAGTTAGACAGTCGACAGTCGACAGTCGACAGTCGACGGCGTTTCCAGCTGTGTGTCTCAGCACAAAATACCTGCAAAACATGTATGAATTTCGCTGATTGATTCAATGTAACGCTAACCACTCTGATTCAGTTTCCAGCTAAAAAAAAATACAAAAACAAAAATAAAAAGCACTGCACTATGGACAGAATGTCAATTTCCTGATATTAATTCTACATTTGAAGCTGTAGATTTGAAATTTTTCAGTAACAATTGAATCACATGAATATTAATCATTTAGTTTACTTTTACTTTGTTTAACGTTTTCCTTAATAACATTGTTTTACTGCACTTCACGCTTCATTTATGTTTTAGATATGAAATTAACTCCAATCCGTAAAAATACAATATATATATATATATACTTTTTATTCTCTCTTGATTTAAAAAAACATACAATTTCAAAATACTGCATAGCAAAAAATATGTTAAAATTCAAAGCCAACTTGCACTCGACGAAAAATGCTGCTCTGAATTCAAGCACAAAGGGGCTAAGCAGAAAAATGTTTTATATTTTTTGTATTGTTTTTGTTACTGAGCAAAGAAGCTGAGCCAAAGAAAATCAATAATTTTGTTGTACAAATGCTTTCCGCACGGGCTTTTTTATTTTTATCTATGTGCAGCACCACTTAAGAGAAAAGGGGAGTCGTCCATACAAAATGGCGAGCAAACATACACACACACACACAAAGACACACACATACACACACACAGACACGCAGAGACACACATTTAAAATGCGAGGCACGCTGCGAGGACAACGCCAGCTCTGTGCCCATATATCCTTTTTCAAACGCAACGGAAAATACAAAAAAAAAAAATCAGCTTTCACTGGCAACGCGAACGTGACGCCGTTTGCCGCAAAGGAGCTGTTGAAGTGGCAAATTTGCACCGGAACGGGTGGAGTGGTGGGTGGGGCTGGGTAGCGCAGTCAGAGAGGCAGCTTATCAGTGTGTCTGTGTGTGTGTGAGTGTGTGTGTGTACAGGTGCTGTGCTCTCTCTCTGTGTGTGTTTGTGTGCTTGTGCAAAAAGTAGCAGTTTATTAGGCGCACCAAATTAACATAGGACTTCTAATGTCCTTAGACACCCACACTCAACACGCCCCCACCCCGCGAAATCCCCTTCGTTTTGGAAAATTTTCATTAGCCTGCACTCAGCCAAAAAAGGTGTAGTAAACTAAAAATAAGCTCATCGAAAATTAGGCTTGGTTTTGCTTTGTCAACATTTTTTTATATTCATGAATTTATTTTAAATATGTAAAACGAGAACTTTTCAAAAACTGAACTTCTAAAAAATGCCATGTATATCTAAAATAGTAGATACTTAGTAAGGGTAAGTTGGCTGGGGTCATTAGAGAGATTCTTCACCATGGAATCAAAGCGAATTCGATTGCGGTTCGCGTTCCGCCTGTGGTTCTGAGTTTGAATCGGTTAATGGTTCCGGCTCCGCTTTGATTCCCTGTCAGCAAATTAGGGGATTGTCCAATTTCGGTTTAGATTTTGAAATTCATTCGACTAACGGTTCCGGTTCCGATTTGAATCACTGTCAGCGAGTTGGGGAGTGTCGAATTTCACCTTCGATTCCGAATTTCATTTGTTTATCTTAAGTTAACTGTTCAAAACCCTTTCCAATTTATAAATTTATGAATTCTTCACAGAATGAAAAACATTTATATGAATTAACGAAAACTTCGAAAGTATTTCAAAGGTGCATATTTATATATATATTTAAATATTTTCATTAAATCATAACAAGATTTGCTCTAAAAACAGAAAATTTTTAAGCAAAAAATTCTATTTAGAATTAGTAAAATATGATTCACATTAATTTGTAAACACGTTTAACACTCCTTGATTTATTTTATTTTTAGAATATTAAGGGATTTTCATAGTCGCTTTTTTCCTGGTGCAGCTTTCTAAAAATTACAACGCCTGCGCGAATTTATTTGATTTTCTTTTTTTGGTGTTCAGTGAGGCACCCTTCTCTCTTTCTCGACTGGATGCTGGAATAAAATGAGGGGAAGTCCTGTGTGTCCATTGTTGCGGATTGCTCTCCACTTGCTGCTCTCCTTTCTCATTTTATTTTTCTATGGTCTTTTTTGCACTTTTACTTGGTGGCAGCCCCAAAGGAAATCAAAGAAAAACGTATGGTTAACGTTTGGCGAGTTGCTTTAATATTTATATAAAGTTCATGTCGGGTATATGCAACATATAAATGTGTATATATATACATATATATATATATATATATTCCCCTTACGGCACTCAAGGCGCCAAAGTGTTACAACACTCACAATCATACAAATGAGAGAGTGGTCGATGGGTTGGGTGAGGCTGGTGTGTGAGGGTGGCCTGTGTGTGTGTGTGCGCACACACTCATACATACAAGAGGAGCAGACTCTAGTGTTACATTTATATTATATGTATGTATATATGTATGTATATGTATATACATATTTGACAATCAGGCCGCAAGCATATGTTACCCGATAATTTGCCGAAAGTTTTAATGAAAGACATGGGACTCATTTCTCGTGCTGTCTCCACTGTGTGCTGCTGTCTCTCTCTCGCACACTCTCTCACACCCTGTGGGTGTTTGTGTGTCTGCAGCTTTTGTCGCCATTTTGTGTGTGTGTGTGTGTTGAAGCAAATTTTGATGAGCTCGAGAAAAGTTACGACTGTTATTTCTGTGTGTGTGTGTCTCTGTTGAGGGTTGCGTTGTGTATAATTTTCATTTTTCATTTTATAAATGACAATTGCTTCTCTTCTCCCCCTTTCCATATATCTCTCTCTCTCTTTTTGTCTCTCTCTCTGTCTCTCTCACACACTCTTTGTCATTGTGTTTGTTGAGTGAGTTGAGTTTTAAGCGCTGCAGGCAACTGTAATCACGCCATATCTGTTGAAAGTTTATTATAATGTCCTTGCCAACGTTGAACCAAAAAATTCTTATGAACCTTAATAAGTTATTTTGAACAATATGTTGCCAAGATGTCCTTAAGTCCCAATATGAAGTCAACTCAACTTTTGCAACTTAGTTTCTACTCTTGTTTTTCAGCTTTTAAGTTTTAGTTTAGTTTCCCGGAAGCGGCCAACTTCGCCGAAGATGGTGTAGAAAAAGAGTTTTGGATTAGGCTAGTGTTCCTCCTTAGAATGGAGCTGCGACTAGGATCTTGAGATTGAAGTTGTATGCGCTTTTAACATTTTTAAATTTTAGTTCTCCACAACACAGAGGAATTTTAAGCAGAATAATATTTTTCAGATTAGAGTTAGTATAATTGTTTTGTATCTTTTTAAATAGGTGTAAAATTAAATTGTAGTTGATTTGTAGTTTTTGTGTAAAGTGTCAGTCAAACTGAATGAATTCCCATTTACAAAAAAAAGTAAATATTTTTTTATGCAACACAATTTTTAGTTGAAGAACTAAGCCAACTGTCGCATCCATAAATAATTGACGCATCGCAAACACTTTCAACATTTTCAATGCATATCAAATGCGATAAAATGGAAAATAAAATGAAAATACTAACCAATGACAACTGGCAGTCGGAAAAGCGCTATGAAAAATCTGCTCAGTTGGCAGACAACTCACACAAAAATAAAAGTCGCAAAAAATAGTCAAAACAAAAACAAAAACAAACACAAAATAGCGGACAAAGCGCCAAATGCATCCCGCTGGGCAGAGACGACAACTGTTCCGTGTTTTTTGTTGCAAGTGGGATGAGCGGAAAGGGAGTAGGGGAGGCTGGTGAGGTAGGGGATTGGTGGCAGCTCTGGACAGCAGTGTCATGCTAAACACAAATACAAATGCATTTGCAAGTGCAGCTTCAATTTTTGCATACCCTTGCTGGGAGTATTACGATTTGCAGGTGAAGTGTGAAAGCAGAAAACTTCAACTTAGTAAAGTATATATATATATATATTTGCTTGATCAGCATTGATAGTCGTCTATATATAGTCATGTTCGGCTGTCCATCTAACTGCTTCCTTGCGAATTATTCCCTCAGCTGAAATGTG